TTATTCAGTATTGTATCCCTATCTTCAACTCCATTGCCTGTGGCATAGTAATCACTCCAAAAAAACGAATCAGCTCATACTAATCTTCTAGAAGAGGAAGCACAAGTGTGGACAAAGTCACTACAAGACTAGTATTAAGATTTTAAGAACATAAAGTACCTAGGAAGAAGCAACCAAGTCAGTAGGTGTGAGTCAGAGCAGGCTTTCTGGAGCAACAGCTTGGCACTGAGGAATAGAAGGACATCCCAGGCTTAGGGAACATCAGTGGTTGCCATGTTCTGGGAGAAACAGAAGGGATCACAGCAAACCAAAAGTGAACCATGGTTCCAGAGAGATGGGTGTCAAGGGTGGAACATGGGTAAGCATCAAGACATATGAAGGGTTTAAGGGTCAACTAGTGAGTTTGAACTTCATTTAGGGCCCCTAAGAAGCCAAAGTCTGCAAGCAAGGAAGCAAAGTGAATTTAGAAAGAATTTTTCTGTATAGATTAGGGAAACTGACCTGTTGAAACAGGAGAGGGTGGGAACAGTTTCCCAAGAAAATGAGCTTAGCAATATTTACTTCAAAGGGCTGTTGTAAGGAACAAATAAGAAGTACATGTAATGCATAGAGATGTTCAGTGAGTGGTACTTGATCCAGATGGCAGTGTCTAGGGAGGGATATCTGGGTATCTGGATATCTGGGTGTTGAGAGAAGAGTGGGCTGAGCAGAGAAGTGCTGTGAATGGGCAGTCCTTTACGACATCCCCAGACTGGGTTCAGAACATTTGTCTTGGGTAGGAACAGATCTCCCTGAAAAAACAGATGGGAAAAAAGTTTATTCCCAACCAGCAACTAAAATTTTTTGGTCACCCATTGGCTTATAGGACGTTTAACCAGAACCTTTAATCTTTAACATTTATATTTCATTCTTTAATTATAATTTACATAGTTATGTATTCTTAAACTTACATGATCTTAAACTTATAGTCTCTTTATTGCAACACCATTCCCAAGTATATTGAATTGATTTATCTTGTTTGATTAGATTTCTTTTCTTTTTTTCTTTTTTCCTTTGTCAAGGGGAGAGAGGAAGAGAGGGAGGGAGGGCAGGAGGGAGGGAGAGAGGGAGGAAGGGAGAGGGAGAGGGAGAGGGAGAGGGGGAGGGGGAGGGAGAGGGAGAGCTGATTAGATTTCTTTATATAGTTTTTCTAGAAGATCTGAGAGGCCCTTTAATTTCAGCATGCCTGAAATTGTTGTCTTTTTTTTCCTGAAGAACAACTTGGATATTTATTAATTCTAGGTCACTCAGTGTTGTAGAAAAGTCTGACATCAGCTGATTTCTGGCAGCCCTCAACTCTTAACCTCTTCATTTAGAAGGTTTACTCTTTCTGTAAGGTTAGCTGGTTTTCTTAACATTATGTGCTCTTTCAATTTGCAAATTCAGTTTTTCTCTCCATTGGAGGATTTTCCCCCTATTATATTTTGAAGATGTTACTTTTTATTTTATTTTTAACTCCTTCGGAGATATGATCATCCATAGATTTTTCATTAGTGTTTCCACAGCAGATCCATTATGCCCATCTTTAAGTACTTTAATCTTTCTCTCCTTCATATTCTCTGTGATCATTTCAATCTCCCCCACCCAACTCACTAATTCAGTTTGACGCTATTTTGTTTTGTTTCTTCATATTTTCAATATATCGGTTAGGTCTATATTTTACAGTTTCTTATTGAGTTTTGTTGACTGGCCTTCATTTTGTTTCCTTAGATCATAATCTTCAACTTTTATGTGAGTCTCTCATCTCCAATTTCCTATTTTCATTTTTTTGAGGTTCTAATGCCTTCAGTGTCAAAGCATTTATGACACATATTTTGCATAAAAGTACATTGATGTGTTCCTTGCATTTTTTCCAACCTGACATATGTATCCTGCATGTTTACCTTCTTCATTCCTTTATAGCTTCCTTCCATATTTCTTTCCTTTGTCTATAATACTTTTATAAAATTGATCTGCCTTTGGTTTTCATTTTATTTATTTTTAATGTAGACATTTCCACACAAATTTTCTCTTTACCTAGATATGTTGTGTAAATCAGTTTTCCTTTCCACTTAATCTGAGATTAGGTGTCCTTTCTGTAAATAGCCAGTTGAAAATAGAGTCTTTGTGTCTACTCTGTTACTGCTTGGGTGACAAGGTAAAGGGAGGATTCAGATGAAGCTGTGGGTAGTGATATTTGAGAGGGCTGATTTCTCTTTTTCTTTACCTTTGTTCACAGTCCAACACTAGAGTGTGTTACATCAAACTGGGAGCATACTTATTCCTTTGGGTGGGCAGTATTGGGATTATTTCACCAACCTCTGGAGGCAACCTATGCCCACCTTTAGTCTTAAAATTCCCAGAGTATCTTCCCAGGAATAACTGTCACTTCCCCGTCAGGTAAAGGAAAAAGACAGACCAAATCCAAGAAGTTTGGCCAGTCGGTTATTTTTTGAGAAGTGTGTGTGGGAGGGGGTTTGTGGAGACTGCAGTTGGGGCTTTCTATGTGTTCCCTGTCACCTCCACTGGGGGGTTTGTTCTTAATTTATTTTCTCTTTTGTATTCTATTCTGGTAAATCCTTCCAGATTGCTTGAGATAATTAGTTCTGGTAGCATATGGTGCAATCAGCCAGCCTTTCCTCCCCCTTCCTCATCAATAAGCAAAGCAAATAAAAGCACGGACAGTTTTCCTCTTGTTAGAACATGGATCCTTCTAGTCTAAAGAAAGTTTCTAAATCTCCTCTGCAGGCTCTCTGCTCACCCCTCTTTCTAATTTCCTTCCCATTCTGTGGTTCTTTGCCACCATTTTTCTTCTTACATCTTCTTCTCAATTCTGATCATTTAAGATTAAGAGGAAAGGATTACCAAGCTTGGGAGTTCTCCATTTATTCCTAGTACATTCTGTATTTCTCTGGTCAATCTTTACTTTTAAAGATTATTGCCTTTTCTGCATTTGAGAGGTGCTGATATACTCTGGTTGGTTTAAAAAATATTCTTGTTCACTGTTATTTATTGGGTTCAGTTCAGGAGGAAAGGGACTGGTTCTGAGACCACCAGCTAGGCAACTATTTTAGCAAGAGTTGCAGTCCTAGCTATTTACTTTTTTTTATTTTTGGCTCAATCTTGGGGACTTTTCTAGCGGAAAGTCAAGATATGGCTTTTACTTGATTATTAGATCTCATATGGTTCAAACAACCATATAGATTTCTCAGGAGCCTTCCAGTTAATTGTATCTCTGGTGGGTGCAGTAGAAATACATAAAGGTAGAGTGAGGCTGGAGGAACACAGGTTGCTGTCTATCACTTGGAAATGTCAGAGAAACAACAAATGGCAGGACAGAACCCAAGAAGTGGCAGATAACTAGGAGAATATCTAGTCCAGTGTTTATAGCTAAAGAAGGACCACTGGCTACCCAGTTTCTAACAGATGCCCTTCCAGACTTCTCTAGGCTACCTTGCATACCAGGAATATGAATCATATTCATAATTATGGATATGACTATGTTACAGGAAAGCTCAAAATGTTTAAATAGCTGTTACCTTGAGCCAAACTAGACCTATACTTCACTTTGCACAGTTTATCTTGATGACCCAATATTAGCTCCATTTAATGGTTACTACTACTGTGCCTATAATTCTGATCTCTGGCCTGGCCTACAATTCTGGGAAATGATTAAGTTGGAAATCTGCTGGATCAAAACTCACAAGAGATGGCAAAACATGGATAACTATAAAATAGTGCATGCAACACTGTGACCATTGTATATGATAAAGATATCTTATTTGACTCAAGTAAAAGAGTTTTGAGGCTTTTAACCCTTAATATCTTGAATCCATACTAAGGCATAGCATGGTCTAAGCTTCACATATAACAAATTCCAATGGCAGGGACATTTGTCAATGTCCTCTTGTGCTAAGAGCATGTTAGAGTACATCTGGACCTCTGAGCCAACACCACTGAGAATGTGTAAAGGTATGAGATGGTCCAGGGAGACTATGAATAGCTAAAAAAAATGGGGCTAGAGATGGAGAAGGGAAGAATTGGAGAGGCTTAAGAACAGTCTTCGAGCCAGAGAAAGATTTATGGGAAAGAGGATTCTCAGTTGGTTCTTTCTGTATTTAGAACACAGATCCAGATAGTTTAGCAGATAACCAAAGGCTCTTTTTGAGGCATCTGTATTTCTGAGATCTGTAAAAGATAAGGCCCTTATCTTTATCCTGGAAAATCCCTGTTTCTACTCCTGTCTATGGGAGTATAAAACCATATGCTGATTTCTTTGTAGGATGCAAATAGATTTATTTATTTGTGCATACAGAACTGGGGTTACAGGCCAGAGGCTCAGGGGCGGCAAGAGGCTACACCAGAGACAGAGCGGGGAGCAGAACAGGCAGATGGAGGAAGTACACTGCTGAGGGGAGCAGTGGGAGGGTCAGGAGAGGCCTGCCATGCCATGTGGTCACCCCCAGAGCAAGTGGGAATCGAACTCATGTGGAAGTGGCTTTAGCTTCTCAGTGCTGTGCTTTAACCGCTGCGCCACCAGGGAGGGCCCAGAGGGAGCTTTTTTAAGCACTATGACAAACAGCCAACCAGTTTCCAGTTACCAGAAACTAACATCTGGTTGCAGATGTGAAAGCCTGCTTGGCTGCTTGGCTCTAGGGAGAACATTTAGAAGAACATAGAATTTGGAACAGGTAGAATTGGCTTGAAGTCTAACTATGCCATTTACTAGGTCTGTGACCTTAAGCAAGTTATTAACTTAGCTGAGTCTTAGTTTACGCTCCTGTAAAATGGGCTGATATGTATATAAAATAACAGTTAAAAGCCCCTGGCATATAAATAGATTCATATAAGTGTTAAATCTCTTCCTTATCCCCTGAAGCACATTGCCAACACTTCTGTGATTTCAAACAGATATTTTGTAAGCACTTTATTTTTATTGTATTTCAAACAGATATTAGTATGCACTTTATTTTTATTTTCAGGACTCCCTTCTGAACTCTCCCCAGCTATTGAGGAAGAAGAATCAAAGAGTGGCTTAGATGTCATGCCCAATATTTCTGATGTGCTGCTACGCAAACTACGGGTCCACAAGTCTCTTCCTGGAAGGTAAAAAATCTTCCTTTTGATCTTATTTGAGTTAGAGTAATAAAACAATAGGTCTCTTGAGAGAAGGACATGAGATACAGAAAACCATGTATTAGGTAACCCCCACAGGGGAGGAGGAGGAGTACCACCCTTGATTCTTGATCCCAGAAGAACAAAGTATAGGGCTACTACATTCAAAAGAAAAGTAATAATGAAGGATCATGCTAGGAGGTTCCAACTCAAATGGCAGTTGGGGTTTATGTCAATGGTTCTCATGCATTGTGTGAACAGCCATATAGCCTGTCCCCAAACTCTCTGATCTGTGCCGCAATAAAGGCTGTTTCCAATGTGCACCCCTGGTTTGGCTCAGAACTCTAGCTCTGGTTTGAGGCATAAAATAATAAACATGTAATATGTCATTCAATAGAAAGATGCCAGAGTTTCAAGATTCTGTCTTGATATGAAAAGGTTAGTTTCATGTCATATAAGGAATTAAAACCATACAAAGAAGAGCTCACAGAATCAATAGGTAGAACAGATACAGTAGAAAAATCAGGTCTAGCACTCTAATTAGGGTCATAGTCAGTGGTTAGCTAACAAGAATGCAAAGGAGATGTCTCTGGATGAGGCAGCCCAGGGTAAAACACCAACAAAATCAATAAACAGGTGTTTAATCAACAACTATACATTGACTCCGTATTTCATACCAGACATTGGAATGGAAAACCAGCAGACAGTCCCTTTCTCATGGCACTTACATATCCTAAGTGGGGAGACATAATATCCAATAATTAAATGAATGATTTCAGGTAGCGAATTGGGGTTTGGGCAGCAGGCTCAGAGTCTGAAGACCCCTGGCAGGCTCTTTCTCAGTTCTTGTCATTGGCAAAGAAGGAGTTCAATGTTGAGACCAAAGCTACAGAACAACAAGAGATTTATTGCTAGATAGAAGGATAGGAAAACTGTAACAGAGAGGGGTCTCAAATGGTTAGCTAAGGAGGGGCCGAAAAGCAGCAGCTTATATAAGTATGGTGAGCAAAAAGTAGGAGTTCGGGCTTTGGGTGTCTCCGTGTTGTGTCTCTCACTGATTGGCAGGGCCCGTGGAGTCTCCTAGGCTACCAAGGCCAAATGAGTTTCCAGTGTTACCTGACTCACCTCCCAGAAACTAGCTTTAGCTCTTTGCTTTGGCTTTGTGTTATTGTGCTGGTATCCTAAACATTTTCACTCTTTACTGGGTTAGGGGACACCCTGACTCATCAATTAATTCTTACTAGAAGGATTTAGTACACCTGGGCTTGGGGCTTGGGGCTTGGGGCTTGTGATATCCTGTTCTGCCTGCCTGTACCCATTTCCTAACTTCTTCATTCAGAGGCAAATCTACCAGGAAACATGAAATGGGCACATTTAGAGAATACTATAAAATGAACATTGGGTTAGGGAGTCGTGGAAGGTCTGTATGGTAAAATAATCTGGGATATGCAAATGATGAAGTTATTCATGCAAATATTTTGATGAAGCAATTTCTAGATAAAAAGCACAGTAATATAAGTAAGTGGTGTGAGAATGATTGGTTAGTCCTATGCAAATTAATGAATTTGGACCTCTATCTTACTTAAAATATGAAATTAACCTAAGATGGGTTATGGGGCTAAACATAAGAGTAAATGCTTTAAAACTGTTAGAAGAAAACATCACATCTTTGTGACCTTGGATTAATTCATGGTCTTAGAAATGCTACTTATAACCAATAAGATAAAAAATAGATTAATATTTCATCAAAATTAAATGCTTCTGAGATATAAACAGCACTATCAAGAAAATGAAAAGACAACCTACAGAATGGAAAAAATATATCTGTAAATTGTGCACTGGATAAGAAACATAGCTCTAGAATATAAAAATAACTCACATCTTAATAAAAAGAAAACTTTTTTTTTACTGTGCAAAAGATATTCAAGGAATATTATTAAGGGTCAATAAGCCATGAAAATATATTTCATGTCATTAGTCATTAGGGAAATACAAATAAAACTATAATGGGGTACCATTTGAAAATGGTATCTCAATGATACCAGTGAAAACCATCCATTCAAATAGTTTTAGTAAAAATGACAGACAAAAACAATTGTTAGTGATAATAAAGCAGAATTAGAATCCTTAATAAAATGGTACAGTCACTTTGGAATAACAATTTTTCAGTTCTTCAAAAAGTTAAATGGAGTTACCCTATGGCCCAGCAATTCCACTCCTACGTACAGAACAAAGAGAATATATATCCATACAAAAACTTGTACAGGAAGCCTCAATGATAACATTACCATAGTAATAAAAAAATAGAAATCACAACTTTTGTTGGTGGTGATAAATGAATAAGTATAATCTTCTATAGCCATAAAAATGAGGCAGCTATCACCTAGATGAACCTTGAAAATATAATGCTAAGTGAAAGAAACCAGTCACAAAAGACCATGTGAGAGTCAGCTTATATTAAATACCAATACTGGGAAATCCATAGAGACAGAAAATAGATAATGGCTGCGTGTAATTGAGGTTAGGGGTTGGGTAAGATGGAATGACAGCTAATAGGCATGGGGTTTCTTTTGGGGATAATAAAAAAGTTCTAAAATTGGTGGCAATTGCACAATTCTATGACTAAACTATATATGACTTAATTATAAATTATAAAAGGGTAAATTTTATGGTATATAAATGATATTTCTATAAACAAAGCTGTTACAAAAGAGGGTGAAAAAAAGGAGGAAAGAACACTAACTGAAAAGGCCTTGGGGCCACAATGAGGAAGCCTGTTTACAGAACAGTACGGCCATTGTGACTAGGTAGTGGGAAAAGTTGTGTCCAGCAGAGGTCAGTTCACAGAAATCTTTGATTCTATTCTAAGGCCTACTAAGAGAGTTTGAATTCTGAGGCAGGCAGGCAGTGCTATCCAGTGTGATCTCCTTGTATCTCACCTGGTAGGCCTCCATAATTTTGGAGTCCCAAGGCTCTACCATCTACCTGCCTATGCCAGTTCACAAGGCCTAACTCTGCCATGGAGAAATCACATCACGGGGCCTCTTTAGCTAAATCGCACCTCCCTGTACTCCTTTTTTTTTTTTTTTTTAAATTTGTTATGTAGCAAAAAAAAGCAGAAAAGTAAAAAAAAAATAGAAAAATAGGTTTGGTTCTAATTAATAAAAATATGTAACTTTCACATAATGCCCACACAAAGCCAAGAGTCAGCAGCATGCTTAGTGAGTTTTGATAAATCATTTAAGCAATATGTACATGCTCTATTTAACAGCTAAGATTAGGTTAGCTGGTCCACAGAGGAAAGGGCCTGATGGGTGGGGTTGTGACAAGCATTATAAGCACCAAACATCTTTGCAGTTGTTTATCTCATGCGCTGTACTCTGCTGACATGATGGCCATAGGGTCTTGTTGCCTCATCCTGACAGGAAAGCCCTTAAATCCCTTGTCAGGGGTTAGAACTAGCACCTTGCAGAGATGGCTGACCCCTACCTTTGCTCTTGAGGTCCATCCACATCCATCAAAGGGAGGAAACTGTGTTTCCTGAGAATCTTATCAATGGCACACTCTGTCGCCAAGTCCTGTGACGCTGGTAGGACCCCTCCCAACCCTCCCACCCCAGTACAGGAAAGGGCCCCTGCATTATTTACATTGTCTGGGTTTCAGAACAAGGGCAGCCTTAGTCACTAGCAACAGCAGCAGCAGCAACACAGAATGGATGTGCAGATAAAAGGACTGTTCGATGGGAATGACGAGGAACTCCTTAGAGTGATACCTCTGGGCCAGCTGGGACTGTCCGTTCTGATCTCTGGCTCAGCATTCAGAGGAGGTTCTCACTGTGTATAAGAACTCTGTCCTTCCTTCCCACCTTTTATTCTCTGTCTCACTTGCACCCTGTTACAACTTTCAAAGATAGGAGGGAGGATAATGTTTATAGACCTGGATATTACCCCCAAAATTATAATGGCTACTCAAATGTGTACAGCTTATAAGGGTGTAGCACATGCATTTCCTTAATAAGTCCTCACAACAAGTCTGTATGTTAATAACTGCTAGCATTCCCTGAGTACCTGCTAAGTGCACACATGTACATGCATGTACCTTATTCTCACATAAATACATGTGTAGTTACCACATATATGTGACTATATCTATACATGTGTGTACCTATATTCCTTAGACATCTTCAACACAGATTTTATTTTGGATTTTTTAATGTACTCTAAAAAACTGTTTTATTGCATCTGTTAGCATTCAGATGGTCAATATAGCAAAGTTTTTTTTAATTCTTTGAAGTGTGTGGATATATAATTTTTTTAATTTTCAGAAGTAACTTTTATAAAAATGGTTTTGAACAGAACTACTAAAGAGTAGGTATTATTATTATTCCCATTTTACAGATGAGCAAACTGGGGCTTAGAGAAATTAGATAACTTGTCCAACATCACAGACAATAAAGGCACTGGTAGAGGATAGAGCCCAGGATCTAATATTTCCACCACACCTCAAGGTCAGAGTCAGTATCTCGGTGAATACCTCATTGATATCAGAGCGCACACAAAGGGTAATCGGTCTCTTTACCATATCACTTACTCCAATCCTGTAAGCACATGGTCTGTGTTCATTCAAAGTCACCTTTTGGTTTCTTTAATAGTTTAGATAAAGTTCTTTTTTTTTTTTTTTTTCACAGTGCTCCTCCACTCACTGAAAAGGAAGTTGAGGTAAGTGACCCCAGTGCTTTATGAAATTTAATGGACTTCACTGGAATTACTAATCTCACCACCACCACACCCAATCTGACCTCTCTTAACATTCCTATTCAAAATGGTAATGAGACTTTTTCCATTATGGACATCCATGACCATTTACATTTCAGAAAGCCAGTTAATGGAAGACTGATAATTTGGTCAGCAATATGAGGTAATTTGAAATTCTACATTCAAAGATTGTTCAAAGATTGTTTTTATGTTTTTGAGAATTAAGACAGATACATAAAGTGAGTTGGGAGGGGCTGTTGTAGAGTGGGTCACTTATTTTAGTTATTAAAAGATAATAGATTTCACGTTGTAAACATTGGTCTAGAAGAAGGTGCTGCCTTCTATGGTTTCCAGGCCATAACAAGGAAGCTCAGCTGAGGTTCTAAGGTCATTTCTCCAGTCTTCACTGATTCCCTTACAACTCCCCTTGGGACCTCCTTGTCTCTGTAGAGATGCTGTTCTGATAGGGATGGTGAGTGAGCTAAAGGGAATTTATCTGCATTTCATTCTGGTGAAGGAGTACATGGCCAGAGACTATATTGGAGGTGAAACAGTAGGGACCTCTGACAGCAGCACAAATTGGAGTTGAGAGTAGGATGGGAGTAAGAACATGGATGACTTCAGGGAATATCCTTGCTCTGAGTTGGGAGAATGGACAATTTTATAGTTTTTATATCCTGACAAGAAATGAGCCATACAACTGGTGGAAGGCAGACAATGTGAAATATTTGTGACAGATGAGAATAATCACATTGTGTACAGACATTGCACTTATAGTTCATAACATATTCATATCCATCCTTTCAGTCAATCCTCTCATAGGCTCTGAGAAGCAAATAGAGCAGGAGTTCAAATGAAAGAGGAAAACTGAGTAATTAAATAACTCGCATAAGTTCCCAGACACAATGTTTAGCAAATCCAAGATTTGGACCCAAGTGTTCCAACTGAATTCAGGACTTTTTTATATCACATTGCCATAAAAGAGAATAACCCAGCAAATAATAAAGCATCGACCATTATTGAGAGACTTAAATGGATTTAGGCCAACATTGGTGCAGCCATGGACAGTTGGTTAGTTCCTGTCCTTATGTGCATATTGTCACAAATGGTCCTCAGAGTAGTGAAAATAGGACACACTTTGGGATCATAGTGTCTGAGGTGAATCCTGGTTCCTCTAGAGCTGATAATCTCTCTGTTCTCGGTCTCTTCACCCATAAAGAAGTTATGAAAATGAATGAGCTATAATGTACATAGATCTCAAGGAAGTGCTGGCACATAGTAGCTGCTCAAAAAAGAGTAGCTTTCAATATTGCCATCATTACCTTTTTTGGGTCAGCTCAGGGCCTTCTATTCTCTTAACTAGAGACCTATGCCCACCACAAGCCATGCTACATGCTACATCAGCAGCTCAGGCAGAGTGAGTTCACCTCTCAGTTATAAATCTGTGACCACTCAGGGAGGGCAGAAGAAGGCTGTAAAAATAAAGGCCATTGCTTCCTGTGTAGAGTTCATCTTTTTATTTCTCCTGCCTAGTAACTTCCTATTATTCCTGTAGTTCCATGTCTGATCAATACCACCTTTCCAAGTTCATTCCTGCAGGCTGCATTTTGGCATGGAATATTTATTCAAACATTTTCTACCAGAGTCATGCCTCTCCTTATTTAATCTCCTGGCAGCTTCTACAAATTACTTTAAATATAAGAATATTCAGGAATACTCAGACAAAAGGCTGGTTGAAGTTTGCTTTATGTCAATGAGGCCTAAGTGTCTAACAGGCTGTCTTCAAATACATTGATTTCATGTGAAACTTCCAAAATTCTCATGCAAAAAATCCTAACATGAATCCAAACTGCTTACACAATCAGCTGCATTGACTTGAGTTCATCTAAACCCAAATACAGGATGTCTTCTTGAAATTCAGGGAAAAGCAAAGTGTCATTTTCACTATTTTTCAGTAAAATGCATTTAGTTTTCTGGTCTGGGAAGAACATAGCACGGTCCCACCATCTTTTATGCAGTGCACTATGTGGCAGAAATTTTGTTCGCTCAAGGCTGTTTTGGTGACTAGTTTCAAGAGCTGATGTAAAATATGTAAGAAACACACGTGCAGCCTTATTCTGGCAGTAACATCTCCTAGCACCTCTCCCACACTCTTGTTCCCAACAGAACGTGTTTGTACAACTGTCCTTGGCCTTTAGAAATGACAGCTACACCCTGGAATCTAGGATTAACCAGGCTGAAAGGGAACGTAACCTGACAGAAGAGAATACAGAGAAGGAACTGGAAAACTTCAAAGCTTCCATTACGGTAACTGTGGAACTGTCTCCAAAGACTATGCTGAGAGTCCTGTTTTTCTTAGTCACCAAATAGAATCCCCTGAAATGAGAAACAAAGCCAAGGCCCTAAATCAGACAGTTTTCCTCAGAAAGCTGGAGAAGTGAGGCAGAGATCCTGAAGGCCTGGTTACCTCAACTTCTGAGTCCTTGGGAACTTCTCAGGAGGGGCTAGGTGACCTGGGATGGCAGAGGGAGCTCCATGGGGACAGGAGGCCTGGATGTGATTCCCTCCTTTCAGGCCAGCCTGATATAGAGTGTCTACTGCAGACTTCCCCAATCGCCAGCCAAAGCCCGTAGTCCAGGCCCTGTGGAGGCCACTTCTCTCCATCAGGACAGGGGCTAGGGTTTGTCATGTAAGTGTCCAAGTCAAGATTTGACATGGGAGGAATTCAGATGATGCTTCTTCTCACTCCACAGTCCTCAGCTTCACTCTGGCACCACTGTGAGCACCGGGAGACCTACCAGAAGCTGCTGGAGGATATTGCTGTCCTGCACCGACTGGCCGCCCGCCTTTCCAGCCGGGCTGAGGTGGTGGGGGCTGTCCGCCAGGTAAGCCTCCCAGATCTCAAAAATTTGAGCAAAATGGGAACAGCAACAACTACAGTGATCACTCATGGATGGCTTCCTTCCTGCCAGGCATCAGATATATTATTTTGGGGGCTTTGTGAGTATTTTTGGCGGAAGGATTGAAACATGCTTTCTGTAGACCCATATCCTTTCTGGAGATTTTTCATGCACACTGGCTTTATCAAGGCTTTGAGAAGTTCTCTAGTGAAGAATCCTGTTTAACTCTACCTATGTAATTCCCAGATGCATTTGATTCAAGACAACAACTCCCCCACCCCCACTGCCTGGTAGTCATTTTTCTCACCCATTCAATGCCCATGAATTAATTGACAAAACATGTTTTAAGAATGACTTTGTTTCATTTAATCCTCCCAGGAACCCTGTAAAGTAAGTATCCTTTTCCCTAAATAAGGACATGAAGTCTTAGTGAGGTTACAGTGAATGAGTGGTAGAGCTGGGTGGGTGGCCAACCTCTGCCTTCCTCTCAGCCACTCTGAAGTCCTGAAGCACCCAGAGTGCCATCCTGACCAGTTAGGTGTTGTGAGGTCAGATTGCTGAGTTCCAATCGTAGCTTCATCTGGAATTCCTGTGTGATCTTACGTTATCATTTCCAACTGTAAAATGCAGATGATTATAATATGTGCATATAGCATTGCTATGATACTTGTAAAGCACAGAGATATTATCAGTATTGCTATCACCATGAATCAGTGTCTTGTGCATTGGCTGTGTAAGTGGGGTGTTCCTGGAGAACAGCCTTGAGCAGTTCTTACAGAATGAAGGAAGGACAAGCCACTGGCCTGTCCCACCCACCCTTGTGGTGTTCTGGGGAAAGGGTACCTGACTCAGCAGCAACACCCAGGAAATCACTCCAGCTGGGAACAGCAACAGAGAGAACCAGAGGGAAGTAGCTGGTCTGAGCTTATGGCTGCAGGAACCTTTGCTAGCCAAGTCACTGGTCATGTCCCTCTGTGGCCAACAGAGCCTGAGCTAGGCCCCTTGAGAGATCTAAGCAGTGTAAGCAGAGAAAAGCCATCTTCATTCCGTAACACCTTCCCAGACGTGTTCTCAGTCCATGCATTGCTCACCCATCTTTGCCCCTCTCCACAAGGTTTCCCACCCCTAGCTTCCTTCCACGTCTTGGCCCTTGCCTTTCTCTCTGTTTCCATTGGGCTGGGTTGGGCACCCATCCTGTCCTTCCTTATTGCTCTTATACCAGCAGTCTCACTCCCTTTAGTCCATTCTCCACCCCTTACCAGATCGTGCCACCCCCTGACTTTCATACATTTGATGGCTTCCTTTTTTCTTCAGATTTAGTCTAAATCCTTTTGTCTAATATTCAAAGTCTTTCACAACTCTGCCCCAACTTACATTTTCTTTTTGCAAACAAAGTCAACCACTTGCTAATTTCAGACCTGCACTTTCCTGGTTTTTAGATAGACCTGGCACATGCTTGTTGTTCCAGCATAATTCTTGATAGCACCCCTCTCACTCCCTAATGAATTCCTGTCTGAAAAGTAAATCCTCACTTAGATATAAGTCTGCTGATAACTCCTTTGCTCTTGGAGTTCCCTGGCCTAAACGCTCTTTGTCCTTTTTACACGTCTATGTGCCCAGACCCAGCCCTTACCCTGCATCCACTTCACTTTGTCTCCATGAGCCTCCTCAACCCATTCTCTGCAAGCAGAGATGACACTTTTCTGCTTCTCATCTCCTGAGTCATTGCAGCTGTGCTCATTCCAGTCATCCCTAAGTGCAGGTGCCTGAGTCCCCCTCAGCTCACATGGAGGGCAGCAAACGTTCTAGGGCAGAGACTGATTGATCCTGAATCCTTCTGGTAATCCCAGCCCAGAGCCTCATTCACACAAACAAGAGGCCTAAGCCTTTCTTTCCTCCAGTTGCCCCACGTGCTCACACTGTCCTTCCTTATAGGAAAAGCGTATGTCGAAAGCCACAGAAGTGATGATGCAGTATGTGGAGAATCTGAAGAGGACATATGAGAAGGACCATGCAGAGCTCATGGAGTTTAAAAAACTTGCAAATCAGAATTCAAGCCGCAGTTGTGGCCCCTCTGGTAAGAAACTGGGCCCTCTCCACTCTTGGTCCTACAGTGTGGCTTCCCGATGGCCTAGGTTAGAGTACCATCTATCAGGATAGCCCCAGGATATATTTCAGGTTGAGCAAGGCTCATTTCCCCTGACCAGTGCTGCCCACAGTGGCCTCAAAACAGAAGTTCCAGTGAGCCTTGGGGCCTGGGAACAGAAGACACTATGAATGACCCCAAAGTAACTCCTGCCACAATTAACCAAAGTGGCTGACTGACAGGAAGTTCACACACAACACAAACTCATCCTACTTTGTGCAAGTGTCAAACCCCAGATTCTATAGCATTTTTTCTTTGGTGCTCCCTTTTAGGCAATTTGGACTTTCTCCTGAAAAGTACTAGACATTCAACTGAAGATTTTAACTGGGGAAATCACATGATCACACATTTAATTTAAAAGGTTCCCTCTGACTATGGTGTGCAAATACATTATTGGAACAAAACAGGAGAGTGGGGTCTATGCAGCTGCTATTATAGAAGTTCATGTGAGAGATAAGCCTGAGCAGGTAGGGGGAGGAGGTCCTGATCACAGGAGATAATACTGAAATAAGAAGCAGACTCACAGACATGACGAATATTTAAAGGAAATAACTCTTTTTCTCTACAAATAGCCGAAGAAACACAGAGGTAAAATAACTTGATTCTGCTTGAGGGAGTCAAGGAAAGCTTTATGCATGCATGGCATCAGGGCAGAGTTTCAAGTAAAAAGGGGAAATATGTCCTAGGAGGAGGAAGCAGCATGTACAGAGTTGTGGAAGTTGGAGACCATGAAACAAAGAGTTTGATGTGACTTCTGTGTTGGTGTGGGATGATGACCAGTTGACATTGTGATAGGCAGGGCCACATGCCAACCATGCTAACATTTCTGGCCTTTTTCCTCTAGGCAGTGAGGCAGTGGTGGTGAATTTTCCCTAATTGACATGGCCAAATTTTATTTTTAGAAGAATTTCTCTGACTTTAGTGCATTAGGGGAGTATAGTCATTAAAATGTGGAGACATAAATCAGGAGGTTCCAGTAATAGTCCAAGAGGAGAGGATAAGATTCATCCTTGGATGTTGCCAAGGTTTGGGCACTGGCTGATGAGAGGTGTTAGCAGGAGAAAACAGACCTTTTAATGACAGGAATCCCTGTGGAATGCAAACATCCGTGTTACTCCGAGTACGAGGAGGGAAAGTACAGAAAGTTTAGCAGATGGAGAGATCTTTATAAACAGGAGGTTTCACAACTTTCCTGGGGAATATAACTGATGCTTCCCAGAGCCCAAAGGTAGTGTACATATGCTCCAGGCTGTCTGCTTTGGATCTTGGCGGCAAGTCTCCTGACTTGCATGCATCTGGGCCTCTAAAAAAAATCTGCTCTGTTAGTACTGGAAGTTGAGGAAGTTGCCACCAAGGAAATTATTGTCCTACATTATTGGCTCTTCATTACTGTCCTACAAGCTGCAAGATCTCCTATGAGCCACCTTACCCAGGAGTTATTGTATGAGCCCAGTAAGTCTTATCTATTCATCCTACAGATGTCCACTGATGTACCCCACATGACAGGGAGACATAGAGGTAAAGTTAACATGTTTTATTACCCTTAGGTGCATCCGGTCTGTGAGGAGGGCAGGGCATGGTAACCAGTGTTGTGACAAAAACAAGCAGACTTCCACTGGGGTCCCACATTCAGTGTGGGGGTATGAGAAAGTGCTTATAATAAAAGCAAGGTGATAAATGAGTGAGTGATTGTTTTTCAGACGTTTGTTCCCACTCGGTAGTATCACACACCCAGCCACCAGGTGTTTCCATCATATACTCAGACCATTCCCTGGAGCGTGCTTTTAACTAAGACTTTACATGATTTCCAGTAATCTTAGTCTATGCTAGGACTCTGAAGACTATCAAGAAAGAAAAATATCTCTGATTTTAAGAAAGGTGACTCACATTTGAAAGATAAAAATAGCATCTATTATTTTTTTCTGAATATGAAGCATGCTGATTGTGCTTTGGAATAGTTCCCAGAGATGAATTTCAACAAGTATAAATATTAGCTCAGGGAAAAGAAATATTTATATGATTCTTAAAGCAAATTATTTTCAAATAATCTTTGATAGTTCCATTTAATGGGCTATAATAATTCTCTAGTCATTGTGCCTTTAACTGCATTTTTGTCCATTCTTTTAAAAAAATATGATTTTGATGGGCCAAAGTTGTATCTCATCAGTTTTAATTTGTATTTTTTTGCCTTTCCAGTATTTGTTGGACAACTGTATTTCTGCTTTTGTAAATTCCCTAATTCTGTCTTTGTTCACTTATTAATCAGTATGTAGTGTCTCTCTTTATATATTTTTAAAAGAAAATCTTATGATTCTGCTACTTTGACTGACTGGAAAAAAAAAACTGACCACAAAGACTTAAAAATTTCTGCTGGATAAAATAGAGCAAACATTATTCTTAAAGAATAGCTGAATCCACAAGAAAGAAATGGAAATACTCAGATACAAGAAAAGAAAAGAGAACTGAAACCAAGCTGATCCTGCAGCTTCCTTGGGGACAAGAGCTACCCTTTATTATCTGGGCACTGGGATTTTGCACTTGCTTGCAATCTGGGATGAGGCCTTAACAGAGAGTTGATTTTCCAAGGACTGCATTATCACTTGAAAGAAACAATCACCAACCAAAAGTGGAACAAATCAAGGAAATCAAGAAGGGAAAAATGTTCTTTTCTTCCTCAAAGCAGAAGTGTATGCCCCCAAAGTACATACTAAGAAGTGGTGATGCAGTATCAGGGAATTGAGAAGATCATCATAGTGGTACTTTTGGAACACTGTCAGGAAAACAACAACAACAACATAAAACCACTTGGGAGAGACATACTCTTCACCCAGCAAATACAGAATTCTTCTGAGCAAAGCCTCACAGAAGATGAGTTCACAAGATAGAGTTATAAAACACATGAGAAAACAATCCACTATAAACAACAATCCACAGGGGTGCTGGTTTCTGAATTATTTTGTGGAGGACATATTGAAACTCATGTCCATGAACTTTTATCCTGTGCTACCACCACACCTTCTTTGTTTCTTATTTCCCTGACTGTACATCCTTGAGTGAGAAAAAAATGATCCAATAATCCAATGGTCCAGAATTACTAGGAGTAGTTTTTACATACTACCCAGGGCATTACCCAGAGACTGTGCAGTCAGTGGTGCCAGTTAGAGACCCACGTTCCAAGACTGGAATTTTTCATAGCTGTTAGAGGAGTTCCCAACAAATTAACAGGATGAAGCTCCCACCCTGACAGTGGTCATCTCAGAGCGTGGAATGTCAAACTCAGTGTTTGTAACACTTAGGCCAGTGAACCATTCATTGAGGGCCAGTTCTGACCAATAGATGTGTTGGCTTGGTTTCTGCCTGCTTCCTATGGGAGCCTACTCTGAAAACTTACCTGAGTTCTCTTTTCTGTTCTCTTCTGATGCAGAAGACGGGGTCCCTCGTACAGCACGGTCCATGTCTCTCACACTGGGAAAGGTATGCACATTTGAGGGACACCAGGGGTCTCAGTTACTGAGGAAGTTAGTAATTCTTGGATCCACTAATGGGTGCCACTAATTCTTGAAGCCACGGTGTGACACTAATTCACTATCACACTTACTAGGTCATCCTCCAACATTCCCTTAAATGAATATGAAATGATGCAGAAACCTTGGTTTTGCTATAGTTTGCATATTATATCTAGGGTATTACCTAGAGCCTAGGGGTCATTTCTGTCCCCCCCTTTTTTTCAGGATCTAATGCACTAAAATAGGAATATATATAGGATCAATTTACTACCAGCAGAAAACTTGTGTCAACTTTGTTGACACCACCCCCAACACCATTATTACCCCAAAGTCAAAATATCCTGTGAATGTTGTTATAGCATTAGAAGCTGGTAGATATTTTATAGTTTGTTCTGAACTTTGGGTGCTTCTCCCTCCATGACAGTGGACCTGGTCACTTGTCTTCCACAGAACATGCCCCGCCGGAGGGTCAGTGTTGCCGTGGTTCCCAAGTTTAATGCCCTGAACCTACCTGGCCAGTCTTCCAGTTCATCACCCATCCCCTCCTTACCAGCCTTGGTAAGTATGAGGAAGCCTGCTTCCAAGTCCTATTCAGCCTCTCCCTCAGGTTCACTTCAGTGGTATGGTCTAGATGGGGCAGGATCAACAAGGAAATGAAAAATTCTGGTCCAGGTTCTGGGCCATTGGCTCAAAAGGCTATATTCCATTGCCCTGAAGAGATTCGGTATTCTAGAGCAAGGTGCTGGCAGTGTTCCTTGCAAAGGCATCTCTTTTCATTCTTTAAACACAACTCTCCAAGCTGGGTGTGATTTTTACCCACTCTTCAGTAGGCTTGAGTAGTTGCAGGCTATATTGTATAGTAACAGTGCCGAGCTTTGTACCAACCCTCGGCTCTCTGGTTCCAAACCATAAATTCTTTCTTTTTTTTTTTTTAATAATAGTTTATTTTTACATCATTTTGTGCCTTTTTCCATCTCAGTTATAATCCCTGTGTGCTTCCCATCACCAAATCACCTGTGTGCCATCACCACAGTCCAGTGCATTTCCCTCCCCCGCTGTTTTTGATATCATTCCCCACTCCACCCCCATAAAATGTCTCTGGTAGATAGCTGTTCATTATTATTATTATTGTCTCGCCTGGACCAGACCTTAAATTCTTAATCCCTGTATTATCCTGCTTGATTCATTGCAGATTGCTTTTAACAATGAAAAACTTAAAATTGCTAAATGTTTTGAAGAAGAATTCCTATATAACAAAGTATTTTCTATAATGTTGGCATTTAGGAATTTGATTTAGCTAATTTTTTTCTAATTCTTTCCCCACTTATTTCTATATTCCCTTTCTGTGACCAACACCACTCTATAAAGATACAATCTGACCATATGGGAAAAGTGGATTCAAACTGTATTATTGTGCCACTAGATAGCATTATCCTCTTTCACCTCTTTCTTACTCAGGCATTTTAATAATCAATGAAATCAACATAAACTCTCAAATAACCCTATAAAACAAAACAACCTGAAAAATAATGTTTAAAAGAATCTCAGGAGGACTTATTAATATATTTTAACAGGCAAATTTCTAATGCTATATTAAATATATTCATATACATATATACACAAGTATTAATGTGTGTGTATGGTTTCCAAATATATATTCCTCAAAGGGTTGGCAACCAGGGATATACATTAAAACCATGTGGGATACTTCTAAAATATCCCAGCCCCAGGCCCACCCCAAGATTCTGTATTGGATCAGTACTTTTAAACATCTTTCCCAGGTGATTCTAACATACAGCCAGAATTGAGAATCACTGCTTAAACCAAATCTATTGCAACAAACAGTATGCTAGTCCTGGAATATTTATTATAAAGAACTTTCTGGTAGCTTGAGTTTTTGTAATGACAGACATCGCTTGTGAATCATGCTTGGAGTGATATCTTCAGAGCAGTGATGGGCTTGGGCGATTCTATTCCAGGAATCTTGTATTAGCAGGAAGCCTGCTGATATGCTGGCCAAGGCAATGAGCAAGTGAAAGAAAAAGAGCTTTTCTTCAGAACAGAATCTGAAAATGTTAACTCCCACTTTGCTCAAGGGAATACAGAAAAGAAGGAGGAAAGTGCACGTTGTCTGTGCTCCAGAGGGAAAGGACACATTGGAAAGGTGGACAGGGAAGGTTTCAGAATAGGCTAGTGGCAGAACTATATTAAAAAGCATGGGAGTGGGGTAGAGAAGGAGCAGTGCAGCCCAGCTCATCAAAGACTTAATAGTTCTGGCCTCTTCCTACCATCATGGATCCTCAATTCTGTCTCTTGTTTTCCATTCAGTCAGAATCACCCAATGGGAAAGGCAACCCACCTGCAACCTCAGCACTGCCTGCACTTTTGGAAAAGTAAGTTTGTCAAGTTTCCTCTTAACTTCAGGAATCTCTGGAGGACAATTTCTCCAATGTACTTTCCTTCCTTCTATCTTACCCCCAAAATGCAATGCAAAATCAAATTAAGTTCTAGGGGAATTGAGGGTACTCTTAGATGCTCAAAGGTTTCAGATCCAGTTTGCAAAATTCTTGGACCAGAAAGATACTCTGCTGGGGCCAAGGTTACTTCAATCTTAGTCCAGAAACAATGAAACATTCTCTGTTAGTTGGCATTATTTAGGTAAAAAAAGAAAGAAAAAAGCTCCAACTCAAAGGGGCTTCAATAGTAAATCTGGGGGTAGGGCTGCTCTAAGAGTAGTGGAGCAGGCCCCAGCTTGGGCTCTTTTTTTTTTTTTTTTTAATAATAGTTTATTTTTACATCATTTGTTTCTCTTTCCATCTTAGTTGCAATCCCCTTGGGATTCCCATCACCAAATCACCCTGTGCCATCACCATAGTCCAGTGTATTTCCCTCCCCCCACTGTTTTTGATCCCATTCCCCACTCCACCCCCACAAACTGTCTCAAACTGTCTCTGGTATATAGCTGTTCATTATTATTATTATTTTCTCCCCTGGTCCTTTATATTCCTGCTATGAGAAAAACCATCTGGTGTTTTTCCTTTTCTTTCTGGCTTATCTCACTCAGCATGATCTTTTCCAGCTCCATCCATGTTGCTGCAAAAGACATGTGTTTCTCTTTTTTGGTTGCTGAGTAATATTCCACTGTGTTTATGTACCACATCTTTTTAATCCAGTCATCCACTTTTGGGCATTTGGGCTGTTTCCATGTCTTCCCAATTGTGAATAAAGCAGCAATAAACATGGGGGTGCAGGTATCTTTTTGAATCAGTGTTTTTGTGTCTTTTGGGTAGATACCTAGGAGTGGGATTGCTCCCAGCTTGGCCTCTTACAATGCCTCAACTGCCCACTTCGAGTGTTGACTTCAGCAGTCTTGTAGTAAGTGGCTGTTAGTTTGCTGTATTCCATCCAGACATGACAATATCTAGAGGAACAAAAAGACTGTCTCTTTCCCTGCTTCTTAAGATTGAATCCAGAAGTCTTCCCTCAGTCTTCCTTCTGGCTGGCAATTTTAGAATGGGATTACCAACACAGATTTATTTAAAGTACCCTCTGGAGATGGCAAGGAAGGGTCAGCTTGTCACAAAGCAAAATTTGCCCCATGAAGAAGAGTAGATTCTTGAACAAAATCATACTGAAAGTAGAAAGGATAATGAGAATATTGAACTGGCAACCATCAGTGTCTGCTGGATCTAACTTTTCTAAGCAGCTATACAGTTTGAAGTCTTTTCATCCTTGGCCAAGTGTATAGAAAAGCAGACTGTTTCTATATACTCAGAGGGTTTTTTAGTTTGTTTTACAAATTCTTTTTTTAATTTTTTTTATTATAACAGTTTATTTTTACATCATTTTGTACATTTTTTTTCATCTCAATTGTAATCCCCGCGGGTTTCCCATCACCAAGTCACCCGTGTGCCATCACCATAGTCCCATGCACTTCCCTCCTCCCCCCATTTTTGTTTTTCAAATTCTTTCATTTGCTTTCTAGAAAACATCTGTATCATAGCTGTCACTCCTCAGAACTTTCTGCTTGTGTTCTTTCTCCCTTAATAAAACCTACACTTCTATTCTTCCTGATTCTTTGCCTTAACATGTCTCTAGTCCTTCATTTTTTAAAAAAGATTTATTTATTTATACATACAGAACTGGGGTACAGGCCAGAGGTGCTGGGGTGGTGAGAGGATTCACTAGAGACAGAGTGGGGATCAGAACATACAGATTGACAAAGTACACTGCTGAGGGGAGCTGCGGGCAGGTCAGGAGAGGTCTGCCACACCATGAGGATCACCTCCGGGGCAGGGATCGAACACATGCTGAAGTGGCTTTAGCTTCTTAGTGCAGTGCTTTAACCCGCTGTGCCACCAGGGAGGGCTCCTAGTCCTTTACTTTTTACTGCTGCCAAAACAGTTTTGCTTGGCCTGTCAATTAACGTCAAGGAATGGGTCCTTTGCCCAAGCCTCCAATCTCTCTATCCCCATTCAATTTTCCTCACCTTTCAGTATATGCAACTACCAACCTATCACTGACTCACCCCACATTAGTCTTGAAGTTTGCTCAGCAATTCCTTGCTTGCCACCTCACCTCACAGAAGTTTACAGTTCCTTCATGTTTTATAGGATTTTGTTTGTTTGTTTGTTCATCATGTTCCTGAATACTACAAGGAAATTATAGAGGTGACAAACTAACAGCCATGTGGAAGTAACTAAGATTACTTGGTACTTAGTGCCAGGTCCCTAGATACTACCCTCAGTACCACAGACACAAATGAAGTTCTAGTCTGTAATCTCTGGATCTCTCTATAAATGTTCTTTCTCTTGATGCCCTGGGTGAGAAGCACACTAAAATTCTCCTTTCCAATTCTGCCTTTGGGCATACCAACAACACTTTCTGTAGGAGTGCCCCCAATAAGATTCCATTCCAGATTTCTATATACAGGGTCAGTAAAGGTAGGTGTTCAATGTCCCCTTTCTCTTCAACAGATAGGCACGGGCCTAGACTCTGTTGCACTAATAACCAGACCATTTGTGAACTTCTATCTAAGCATTGTGGATTGTCAAAAACCTGAGCTATCCTTGCTAGAGAAAGTGAAATCCAAAAGTGGGGACAGCAATAGCAACCCCAAATTGTAGAAGGCAATGAATGATGGTAGTGATGTCATCACGATACCAAGGGTTTAGAACTAGGAGAGAAAGGAACAAGGCAGGGATTAAGGCAAGTTCAGCAAGAGGCTTCAGGAAAGTGTCAGCATCTCTCTTTGTGCACTACCCAGAGAGCTCACCATGACACAACACTCATGTCGTGACTTTCTTGTTAAGAATACACCTTGCTTATAAAGATGGCTACAAAAATGGAAGTGAGAATTCAAAGGGGACAGATTCTGAACAGAGCTTCCCTCGTTTGGATTTGTAAAAGGTGCTGAGTGGTTTTTATCTGAATTCGTCAAATGAGGACTATTTAATACATTTCCTAGAGGATAACTATGAGGAATTCTGAGTGAAAATACACTCTTTTCTTTCATTCTAAAACAAATACAGTTGATTCTAGCTACTTTAAAGGGAAACAATGCATTACAATCATTTAACATACATTGCTATCTACATTGTTGTATTGGGGTTGATGTTAAAATTACTTTAAATTTCTCTAAGCATACATAAATTAAGCAGGAAAAACTGGCCAAGCACATGAAAGGATAAGAAGATCAAATTGCCTGTGGTTAGCTCACAAGCTAGTATCCTAGAGTTGACAGCACAACCCAGTGTGCTGTCTGTACAGCCCATTCTGTTGACCAAACATGAGGGCTAGGGACCTAGAATGCAAAAGTCCCTCACAGTCTGAAGGAAAGAGAGCTAGGGAACAGTCTCTATAACACAACATGGGCAATATCAGAAAGTACAGGTTTCTAAAGGAACAACTGCCAAGAAAAAGAGTGTCTTCACCACACTTTTGATGTGGGAGTGGGAGCATAGGGGAGGCTCAGAAAGTGTTGACTCCAAGAGTTGACTTTTAAAGTAAAACCTGAAGATTATACAGTTAATTAGATAAACAGAGGGTTAACAACATTCCAGATTTTGAGGCGAGAATGTATGTTAGTCAAGGAGTGATGATGATGATAGCTATTGTTATTTACTGCACCCTTATTATACGCCAAGTACTAGTCTAATTGTTTTTACATTAAAGATATTTAACACTTACAATAATCCCATGAGATAGGTCTACTGTTACTATCTCTATTTTATAGATACAGAAAGTGAAGTTCAAAGAAATCATCATTTGCCTGAGGTTACACAGCTAGTAGTAAGCAGAAATTATGCCCTTCTTACCCTAACAAACCCTTTAACTGGAAGAAGAGAAAGTTCAGTATGAGGCTGCTGTCACGGGAGAAGAGGAGCTCCCATTTTTGAAGGAGCTCTTGTGAGCAACCATGAAAAGACCCTGGTGACTGATTGGGCCTGGAGTAGAAGTTAAATGGGTGGGGGTAGAATTGAATACCATATTCCAGAAAGTATACTTATATTTTTTCAGTAATTCCTACACCACTAATACTACAGGTAAACATTATTACTCTCATTTTATAGCTGAGAAATATAAAGTTTTAGAAGGTTATATCATCTGTATCTGTTGAAGTTGGGATTCGAACCCAGATTTGTCTCAATTTCTTCTTTAACTCACTCTGTTCTGTGTCAGACATGTTTATCATTAATCTCTAAGGTTGATAGAGGGTAATTTAAAGTCTGGTACCAATGGTTCATTTTTAATATATAAGTATATTTTATTAAGAAATTATTTTCCCTGCCTTTGGCTGTAGCTCTGTTTTTCTGCTCTTGTTCCAGTCACTTGGACAAATAGGAAACTGCACAGTGGAGGAGGTCACATGGAAAGGAGTAGATAATATCATTTGCAAAAGGAGAAATGTTATGAATAATGATATTGTTAGAAGAGTTATCATTTTGGTTCACAATGAGTTCTGATTTCCAGCCTGATGAAATGTAAGTTTTGTAAAATCTAAGGAAATTAAGACCTGGGAACCGATGCCAAGAGTGATAAATGAGAAGGCACACACCTAAGGCTGGTCTGAGAGGCGGGGAAGGGTTGTAACGGAGGGTTGTGACCTTTCAAGTCCTGACTGAAAAGCTCTGCTCCAGGCCCTTCCTGGTAGCGCAGCGGGTTAAAGCACTGCACTAAGAAGCTAAAGCCACTTCAGCATGAGTTCAATCCCCACCTGCCCCAGAGGTGAGCAATTGGCATGGCAGACCTCTCCTGACCCGCCTGCTGCTCCCCTCAGCAGTATACTTTGTTGATTTGCCTGTTCTGCTCCCCACTCTATCCCTGGTGAATCCTCTCACCACCCCTGCACCTCTGGCTTGTACCCCAGTTCTGTATGCATAAATAAATACATCTTTAAAAAAAGAAAAAAGAAAAGCTCTGCTCCTAGTTTTGCCTGTGAGGACTCCTCCATGATGGTGTTCCCATGGGAACTCAGGGAATCTAAGAAAGGCCTGGCCATTGGAACACTTCCTTTCAACTTATGGTGATCCCATACCTCTGGTCAGTGCCCAGCATCTTTCTGTGATTCCCAGGTTTGCTCTTTCACTCTCTCTTCCCCTTGATTCTTTTAAGCCTTCCCTTCTCAAACCTTCTTAGTCCTCCCTACCTCTCACTCTTAGAAAAGAAGCTTATCTTCTACTCTGTGGATAAAATGTCTGGTGTCAGGGCCCTCCCTGGTGGCGCAGCGGGTTAAAGCACTGCACTGAGAAGCTAAAGCCACTTCCGCATGAGTTCGATTCCCGCCTGCCCTGGAGGTGACCACATGGCGTGGCAGACCTCTCCTGACCCGCCCGCTGCTCCCCTCAGCAGTGTACTTTGTCGATCTGCCTGTTCTGCTCCCCACTCTGTCTCTGGTGAATTCTCTCACCCTCCGCATCTCTGGCCTGTACCCCAGTTCTGTATGAATAAATAAATCTTTAAAAAAAAAATGTCTGGTGTCAGATGGGAACTCTCTCATCTTCTTTCACCCTATTCCCCATCCACCATCTTCATCTCCTTCCTTCCTGTGTCATAATCAAGAAGTCTCTCTGCCTTTCTAAGGTCTGTCCATACTTCCCTTTTCAAAGAATTTATTCCCTCAGTCATTCCCTTTCTCTCATCCCTCTACTGGATTATTTCTATCCTTATTCAATTGTGTTTCATTCCTTAACCTTCCTTGAGTCCTAAGTCACAGGTCCTTCTAATGTACTGTGGATACATTAAAAAATAATACTTTTTGGTGATCAAAAAAGATAAATTCATGCCATCTGCATCACCATGCCCACCAATAGCATCCCCTGGAATAAGAGAGCTGTGCTTTCTCCCAACCTCGGAGAGGCTTTCTCTGACCACCCAATCCAATAGATTCTCCCCCTTGCTGTTTTCTGCCCCTTAACAGTTTGTTTCTTTCATTAAAATGATGACAATTTATAATTAAATGTGGTGTTTTTCTTTCTGGGGGTTTCTCTACTGCTAGATTCCACACTGACAAAGTTTGCTTGTTTTATTTATTGATTTTACTTTTTGCCAATTCTCTATTTTTGTTTAATTGAAGTACCACTGTTTTACATCCTTATTAGTGTTTTCACAGTATAGGATAACCCTCCGCTGGTATAGTCACCATAGTTTTCCTACCACCGATGCTCCCATAGTCCTTCATCATAGTACACTGTGCTCACAACCACTTCGTGTTCCTCCCTCTTTACCTCTTACTCCCACTTCTTACTCTTCTCTCTTTATGGCCCCTTGGAATGTATCAAGGCTATGTCAGATTTCTAGGGACAGATGTAATGTTTGACTTTGTCTGATCCTTTGTTTGTTTTCTCTATATTCCACATGTAAGTGGAATATAGCATAACCCCTCCAATTTAGCATAATCCCTCCAGCTCTATCCATGTTGCTGCAAATAGCATGAATTCATCTTTTCTGATCAACAGTTCTTTGAAAGAATGAGTGGTGGTCATGAAGTAAATAATAAACTACAAAAATGGAATGACCCAAACATTTTGGTCCACCTCCATCTTCCTCATCTTCGTGCTGTGGAGCTCCTAGTAGTAGTCTGTCTACCACAGCATCTCCTGGAATAAGATTAAAGCTAGATTTGGGAGCACAAAGAAAAGAGGAGTCATAGGGTTTGATGTTTGGGGCTCTAGGGAGGATTCATGGTCTTCATAAAATCTTGTCTCAAGGTTTGAAGGTTTAAAATGAATTCTGTCCAAAAAGTTTCCTCTCTTTTAGTCAGAATGGTTTGGTTGTCAGATGTCCAGCCTTTCCCTGAAATGACGTTCTATACTTCCCTCTTCTCACTAGTGGAAAAACAAATGGAGACCCAGATTGTGAACCCTCTGCTCCCATGCCAACCCTGAGCTGCCTGGAGGAGATTAGCCAGGAGACCAAGACCAGGATGGAGGAAGAGGCATACAACAAGGGGTGAGTCACATCTCAGCTGCCCCAGATCACCTGGTAGATCTCAGAAGACACCTTCCCACAGCCTTTCCTGTTTCTTAGCGGATTTAGGGAAGGATTTAGGGAAGCAACCAGTGGCCCCAGGACATCATTGTCTCAGTAAAGAACTACAATAAAAAAAGAGCAGTACTGTTCCACAGGAAGGACAGGAGGAAGTAGGGCGAGAGGGTGTGGTCACACAATCACTAGACTGCTCTCTTTTGGGGAGAAAGGCACCAGAACACCACTGATGGTCTGGAAATCAGGAGCCTTGTTTGGGTTCCTCTTGATAGTGCTTGAAGCTTCCTGACACGGTTGAGGGTGGTCATGTTGTTGCCAAGAATACCCAGAAACAGCTGCAACTCTGCTTTTTAGAATGCCCCTGGCCATCTCTTCCACCTATAAATGGAGTCCCCTTAACATCCAACTGCTCCCTCTTGAGCAAAGCTGCAGTCATCCTTTAATGAATGAGAGAGAGTACTAAGCAGGGCCCAAGCCCAGGGCAAGTAAAGAATTACCTCTAACCTGGCCTCCCACCCTGAGTTTCTCCCTTCCCTGCAGCTCCTAAAGAAGGTGCATCTTCCTGCTGACAGAGAATCTGAGGGCTTCTGAGTGACAGTCACAAACACTTTGGTAGTTCTGCCCAGACAAATTGTGCTGGTCTTAGATACTGAATGAGCTAGGATAGCAAGCAAAAAGTGTGTTTGTCGGGTATTATTGACCTTGGAAAAATGAATTCAGAAGGGTTTCTCTTGGAAAGTTTTTTTTTTTTTTCCACCCACAATTATCATCTATGTGGCCTTGTAGCTCTTTAGGTCAAGCTATGTGCTTATCACTCCCATAGAATTTCCATCAAGCCTGTGTGAAGGTGTTGCCCTCCTTCATTTAAGCTGTGTTTCTGGTACTTCCTGAAAGTGTTACAGCCTATGGTAAGATGGATGCTACCTTTTCCATTGCATAGGTGAGGAGCTACATACACTTCCACCCAGGGAGCAACTAGAATCTCATCCCCATGGAATGTTTTGGGCTAAGAATCCAGAGTCAGGAGATTCTGTATCCACATTTCCCCCTGTCACACTTTCACATAAACAGGAAGGATGACTGAGGAGTGAGGGGAAATTGTACTGACATGAGCCACCTTGGGATTCAGTGGAGCTTCCCAGCTTTTTCCTGTTTTGTGGAACAACAGGAAGTGTGTAATAATTAGAGGTTCACAGGTCTCCTCCTCTAAGAACTTGGGAAAGAATGCCCCATGCCTACCTTATGGACTCAGTTGTTTCTTTTTGCCCTCCAGATACCAGGAAGGTCTTAAGAAGACTCCAGAGTTCCAAGACCTAAAAGAGGAGGAGGAGGAGCAGAAGAGTGAGGGTCCTGAGGAACCTGAAGAGGCAGAAGAAACTGAGGAAGAAAAAAAGAACCAGAGAAGCAGGTTGGAGCCCTTGCTGTTGCTGAAATGGTTCACCGTTCACTTAATGGCACAACATCCCTCGAGGTGGCTAGTCCAGGGCAGCCATGGACTAGACTATAGGAACCCATATTGTGGGAGGAACCAGAGGGGAAAACTGAGCGAAAACAGTTACCAAGGGGATGTTTGCAAAAGTTGAGGAATCAGAGTTGGTCCAGGGCAGGACCGGCAGCAATTGGGAGCTCTAAGGAACCAAAAAATGATAAAGGGCCCTAACTGGAGTCTCCCCAGTCCAACCCAACCACAGTTGGCTCATTTCCCAGTCATCCCCATGTAGCCAAGGTCTAGGGAGCTACATGGAGGTGATTACAAGAACAGAGGCAGAGAGAGAGAGCACAGGGGCTAGGGAACAAACTCAGCTCAGTGAGTCTCCAATAGACTCATGCTGGCCCGTTGCATGCCAACCAAACAAGCTTGCTCTTGCAAGCAATGTTTTTACTTTGGATTGGAAATACTTTAGGATTTTTCTCTTTCAATATGCTTTTTAAAGAAAAAAAAAGATGTATCTATTTATGCATGCAAGAACTGTGACACAGCCCGAGATGCAGGGGGTGAAAGGATCCACCAGAGACAGAGTCGGGAGCAGAACAGGCAGATCCACTGAAACACACTGCTGAGGGGAGCAGCAGGTGGGCCAGGAGAGGTCTTCTGCGCTATGTGGGTCACCTCCCTGGCTGGGGATCTAACCCATGTTGCAGTGGCTGTGGATAGTCTCACAGTGCTGCATTCCAACCCACTGCACCACCAGGAAGGGCCCTCAATATACTTTACATCTCAAGTTTATTTTTTCTCTAGATCAAGAAAAATACATATAACTTGTAGATAAAGGTAGTACAGATCCTGCATCTAGTCTTACCTGTGTCCTAGGAAATAGTGACCACATCAACATCCTGGGTTTTAACAACAGCCCCAATTTCATATATTCTGCCCTGATGTCACAATACACTTGAAGTAGATGTCTTGAATTTTTATTTTAAAAAACGTGATTACAGCAAACTTGGAATCCTTAAACAAAATATCTGTTTTTAGTCCTCTGGGCTATGTAAGAGGAGGCCAGGCCAGGGTGGCTCCAGCCAAAATGACTGTATATCACATCATTTTCTAAACTTGGGACAGGGTGGTTGTCTGTGCCTCTTTGTTGGCAGACTCTGGAAATCACAGGCATGCAGCAAATAAGGCAATAACGCAAGGATAAGAAGTGAGATAGATACTCTTCAAAGCAAATGAAAATAAGCAAAAGAGCCCAGTATGTATAAGAGTCAACCAGAGTGAGAGGTGCCAGCCTGCATGAATCAACCCTGATATTCAAGGGATACTAGGAGAGCTGGAGAAACTGAAACACACACCTGTTAGGAGGCTCATTTCCCTTAATGAAAAAAATCCCCAAGTTTGAACAATGAAAGTACAGTCCCTACTCGAAGCAACTGGATCTTCTCCCTTTGCTCTTATTTTGTAGGCTACCGCACTGCCTCTTTCCCCTAAATTTAATGCAGTCTAACCCAGGTCTGGAAAAGAGCCCTCATACCGCTAAAGGGGCCTTCTAATATTTCTAAATACTGAGGAAAAACAAAAGAGAACTAAACAGACAGAGTACATGGAAAATAAGTAGGCTGGTTTACAAAGCACAGGGCCTGAATCTTTAGCTAATTTGATCTCTAGAAAATGGTGGGCTCCTCCCATTTCATGAACCCATGCGGAAGTAAGGCTTTGCTTACTTACTTGAGTATCAGGATTGACTGTGTCCCACTCCAGGTCATCAGTACATGGCAATGGTTGCCCTTGACCTCCATTATTCAAGAGTGACCTCTGTGTTCTGCTGACCCTGAAAGGCTTCATTCTCTCTCCCAACCTTTGCTCCCTCTTGGATTTAACTTCTGGTATTCACAACATGCCTGTACCTCAGGTGATGGGTACTAGTTAGCAACATAGCCCTTAGAAAAGTCCTCATCCTCAGGGATGTTGCTTCACCTTTTCAGGCCCAACAGTGTGACACCACACTGTCAGTGCTACCATACACACTGCCTACTCATAGTTATTGGATCACTTCTTACCGATCACCCAGGTCACAGGGGCTCTGAGCACTGGCTGTTCTCTTTAATGTTAAGCACTTGTTATTTATTCCTGAGCCCCTTAGATACACCGATGCCTACAGAAATCTGTACTCAAACATAATTTCCCCCATGAAATTCTGGCATCTCACTTATCAGCAACGTCTGAGGTTGAAAAAAGTGTTGGAGAGAATGTAAAGAGAAGGGATGCAATGTTGGTGAGATTGTAAATTGACGTAGTCATTATGGGAAAAAATATGGCAATCCCTCAAAAAATTAAAATTACCCCCACTTCTGGGTATTTACCTGAAAAATACATAATAGATACATATACACATAAAACCTCATGCTTACTACTACATAGTTTACAATTACCATGAAACAACCTAAGCATCATTAGTTGATAAATGGATATAGAAGAGGTGGTATATATTGATATATGCGATGGAATACTATTTAGCTATTAAAAAAAGAGATGAAATAGACCTAGACATGAATGGAGCTAGAGGGATTATGTATAGTGAAACAAGCCAGATAGAGATTTCACTCATACATGGTATCTAGAGAAAATAAACACTCATACATGGTATCTAGAGCTATATAAAACAAAAATAAACTTGTGGACTTTAAAAAAAGTGTCTCCATAATGGAAATGAGGAATGCCTACTGTGATTCCTTGGCATTCAGATGTGGGTCACCAAAGAAGTGTCCTGGGAGTTAGTAGGGCAGGATAGAAAAGCCTTTGTGATGAAAAGGAGCGGTAAAAAATCCTTCTTTGTAGTAAATAGGTTTTAAAATATTTTATTCTGTCTTTAAATATTGATAACTCTTAAACAATCTACAGTAAAGATTTTAAACTACGAAAAAAGGTCCATATCCTACTTAGCACATTTCAACAACACTGAAGTCTTTTTGTCTGAATTTTTCCTGTTGTAGTAATATAAAGTAATGTAATCTGTTGCAAATGTTACTTTCTGGAAGATCAGCTTAAATGAACTTTGGGTGAATCAACCCAATATCTTAGTAATAGTAAAACAGAGTATGTGGTCTTCAGATATTTACATAAATACAGAGAACAAGTGATACAAATGAACTGTAGCAGAAAGCTTGTCTCGTCTTCCACTGCCTGTTCAAACTTTTCCTATGTGTTAAGGTAACATTAGGCAAATTCCTTTTCTTTTCCAATAGTTCTCAGGAAACAGAAGTGCTCTGGTCCAGCTTGAGTCACACAAATAACCTTGTTTCAGTCATTTAAATGGAAATAATCAAAATGCTGAACTTCTTATACAGTTCAAGCTTCTTTCCTTCCCCAGCTCTGGTCAGCAACAGGAAGGAAGCCTATAATAGGATGGGGAACACAGCTTTTCTCTATATCCCATTTGCACATCCACTCTCTAACCCCTAGCTTTGATAATGACTGTGTCAGTCCTTTCATAGTTAGTTCTGGGAAAGGGCATCAAGTTTAATGAGTAAGGAAGGTATAACTTAAGTACTACTGTGAATGGGCTCTAGAGCTTAGCAGGTTTAAAGCTGGTTTCCTGATTTCCTTTAGTGTGGCTTTTAATGAGCCCTTCAGTGGAAAGCTTGTGGGACTCTATCCACAAGGACATTCACAGTATTGCTGAGGATCTTTTAGCTTAAGTTCCCTTTATGAGGTCAAGTACTTCTTTTCTAGCTGGTCACTTAAAATTCTTCTCTCAGCCTTGGGCACCTGCAAATACCTTCATCATTCAGCTTCTAGGAACTGTTTCCAGGCAGAATCTATGACACCACATGCCAGCTCTCTTCACTACATCCAGCTAAGGGGAAGCATGTATCTGAGTCCACTGTTTGTGACGGCACATTTTTTCTGATCATGGTCCCTACTCTGAGGCTACAAAGTCTTTTAGCAAGAGTCCAGCTCTTCAATTTCTCAGGTATTAGTCAAACACTAATCCACTGTGTTCCCCAAACAGCAGCATCTCTGAAGCCCCCTTCCTAGACCCAGGTAAGAGGGAGGCAACCTTGCCCCTCCTATGAGAACTGAAAATTTAAATATGATTTCCAAAGAAATTCTATAGCTCTTTATGGGCTGGAAGTAGGTGGTCTACTAAAGGTCACAAAGACAGATCTTGATGACTTCTTGCTGTCCTAATTAAAAGTGGCATTAGATTGGGATTTCCCCACTCCCAACTCAAGCATCTTGTTTTGTAGCATGAAAAGACAGCCCAGAAACAAGACTAGAATCAAATTATATATAAGTAGAAACTAGAGAATCTAAATAGCACAGAAAGTAAATTTCCATTTTGATGATTTTCACCTACACTAATGTGCTCATTAATCATATTTGACATGGTCATCAAAGGGTGATCATGGAAAGAGAAAGCAAACAATACCTTAGCATCCAACACAGGCATTCTAAGAGTCTAATCCTTTTTTAAAATGGGTATTTGTTCAGTCTCTCCATCTATCATAAGGTACTGTCTTTTTTGCAATATCTGAACTGGAGCTCTCTACTTAGCAAATGGCCTGAGTATTTCTGTATATGGGAGACTTAAGATCTTAGAAAGCCCTTTTCACCTCCCCCATGTGATGATGGTCGGTTCAGAATTTTTTTTTTTTTTAGATCTGGGGTTAAAAACAGAAAGAAATTCTAGCTTAGTAAATGTTTCCAGGGGATCTATCTCTAAGAATTGATTCTTCAAAGCAGGTCATTGGATGAGATGTCTTTTCACCAGGTGTCAAAGTAAATAGAGAAGTTTAAAGGTAGTTGGAAAGAAAGAAAGGTGAGGAAGGGAAGTGAAGCAGCCAAAAAAAAAAAAAAAAAAAGGAAGGCGAGAGAGATTAAAACCAAGGAGGGGAGAGAGAAAAGAGAGGAGAGAGGATGAGGGGAAAATAGAGAATAAAAATTAATGGGGGTTGACAAAACATCTTGAACAAGTCACCCAGAGTTGGCTGGAAGCTATTAGTTTCTGGTTGCCTCTGTGATGGTTTGAAATGAGCTCTTGCTGATACGATTTCTTATCATTTTAGTAGATATCAAGAGTCTTTTGGGTGTTTAGCACAGTCTTTCCACTCCAGACACTGAGGACAACACATCGGAGGCAGAGATTTGGGGTAGAATGTAACTGCAAAATGTTCACTGAAAAAAATAATCACTGATGCCACTAACTGCGGTAAAGATGCTGGTTCTGCTGGATACATGAGAACATGAGCCTATCAATCATGCATCCCAGGGCTTGGGAAAATACAGATATTAGTGATTAGTCTCATCAGTAGATAAGGGAATATGTGACTGGATAAATGATCGAACAATAGGGCGTTCCAGCCCAGTATCTTCCAAGATGAAGGCCTTGAACTATTGTTATCACAATTACCCTGGGAAATGTTTAAACTATGTACTCCTGGACAGTACTTTTGGAGTGTCTTATTTAGAGCCCTGGGGTATTCTGAATAATTGCTGCTATGTAATTCTGTGTACAACTGAGTTTGAGGACCACTGCTGCAGGCAGCATGGGATGTATTCCAGAGAGAAGTATGGGCCTGGGCATCGATATGTCCAGTATACTGACCCTCCACTTGTTTTTTTCATTTGACAGCAAACTTGAAGAATTGGTTCATTTCTTACAAGTCATGTACCCCAAACTGTGTCAGCACTGGCAAGTCATCTGGATGATGGCCGCAGCAATGCTGGTCTTGACTATAGTGCTGGGGCTCTACAATTCCTATAACTCCTGTGTGGAGCAGACTGATGGGCCGCCTGGGAGATCCTCTTGCTCAGCAGCCCAGAGGGACTCCTGGTGGGGCTCAGGACTCCAGCATGAGCAGCCTATGGAGCAATAGGAAACCTGACACCTAACCAGTGTTCTACTCCAGCACACAGCCTACCGTCCTTTCCCCAACCATAGGGTGTCAGGCCTGGTAAGCACATGCCGCCATCAGCCTATCAGGGAATGCAGCACCCCTGCAGAAGCTAATCATATGTAGTAGCTGATGTTCTTGGAGGAGCAACAGAACTGACCTGGGAGAGGATTCAGTGGGCAAACAAGTCACCTTCATCAAGGAACCCTAGCAAAAGGGAAGATCACTGTCCTTAGCTTGGATGGTCAGGAGAAATAAAATACCTTCACTACAGAAGACAGTAAGAAGCTCACTCTCCCTTTTTCTCTCTGAATCAGAAATCAGGAAGAATAATGCCTAATGACTAACTCTGACCCTCAGGATCAGACCTGGAATTTGGAGTTGCAACATGAATATTTTCCCATTTCCCATCTCATTCTCACTGACCTGCCTTCAGCCTCTATTTCTCCCTTTAAGAGTCAGACTTTCTTTTTAGAGAAGTAGGAAAGGTTTCTCAGAACAATTTGTAGGCTGAACTTAGCTCAGTGCTTGAAATGAAATGGGAAGATATGAATTAATATATAATGCATCTGTACATATAACACACACATACACACAGCACGCATGTGCATGAAGACAACAACCCTCCAAAAGTGTGCTCTGGGTGTGTGTTCTGGAAAAAGAAAATGCATGTCAAGTGAACCCACAGATTTTCACTAGGTGTGGGCAGTCACCAGGCACTGGAGAGCTCAGTAAGCTCTTCACATGGATTGAAGATGTTGAAAAACACTGAAAACTCATGACTTCTATGTCAAACTAATGATCTTCATTTCAAATGTAAATTATATGCTGCTCTACAGCACAGTCTGATATGTATTTGTTCTGTCCCTTTGAAAGCAGATAACTCACCTTTGAGATAAATGAGGAGACACTGTGTGCTCTCAGTTCCCACATGCAAGTATGTGGTTACACATTCATGTTTCAATTCAATTGAAATTTCTAATCCAAGTATGTTTCAGAGCATTTCCATTTGTTATGCATAAAACTGAGTGAGTACACATCATTTTCCAGTTTGATTCCTTATTCCACTTTTGCAGACACTGCTTCATTCATCCGGCATCAGTTTGGGGGATGTGTTGGTTTCTCAGTGGATTTTATTTTTCTTGTTTGCTTTTGGTTTGGTTTTGTTGCAGATGTGTGATTTTGTTACTACCACTCATCTAGAACTTACTATGAGCTAAACGCTGTTTTAAATATTATTTATGTATTAATCCATTTAGTCCTCAAGATCCCCTTTTCAGATGAGGAAACTTAAGTACAAAAAAGACAAGTAACTTGCCAAGGCTACTCAGTCAGTAAATCATGAAGCCAAAACTCAAATCCAGGCAGGTTGGCTCCAGGGCCCTGTGCTTTAAACCCATGCACTAAATTGCCTTTTCAAGGTCCTCCTACCTAGACGGCTTCCAATCATTCCAAAACATTATTGGTCCACAGACTAACATGTTTACCCTCAAAGCTTTGGAGCTCTACTCACTAGTTTTCCTTCTGCCACTCTCTTCTTTACTTCTGATCACTCTTCAGGACCAGGTGCAAAATTCACTCTATCCATGTGGGCATTGGTGACCTCCTTCTATCTCCCATCTTACCCAATCACCATCTCCTCTGTGCTTTCTGGTACCTTTTAGACATTTTTAATACTGACCATTACAACAGTATATCGTGATGACTTATTTGTATCTGTCCCACCCTGGCACTCTTCCTCAAAGACAAGGACCATGTCTTACCCATTATTTTTCTGGGTGACTAGCATGGTGGCTGATGCTGGGGAGGTTGTCATTAAATGTCAGTCAAAAGAACAAGTGAGTATTCAAGCTGATGGTCAGTGAGGACAGCTGACATTTTACATACTTCCTAGTAATGAGCACCTTCACCATTACTAATGTCTCACTGAGAAAATAACATCTTTATTACCCTCAATTTAATTCTATGAGAACTGACTGACAACCTATTCTTAAGCTCAAGAACTAGACTCAATGCAATCACTCCTTTGAATGACCCACCTAAATCAGCTCCCACTTTAAAACAGCATGTTTATTAAGGAGCAGGGGCAGGGGAACATCCTTTATAGTAACTAGAAAATCACTGTGAGAGACACCCAAGCCATGGTTGACTAAGAATGTGCCATTAAGGTAAAGAGGTATAGATCATAGCAGACAGACTTTGGGGACATGGACAGATGGTTTTTCATGCCTCTTCCAGTGGGGGCCAGGCACACTGAAGGAGATTTAGACCTTCAGAGCCAAAGATAGGATGCACTGTATAGAGGCTGTGGGACAGGACTCTAGGTTGGCAATGTCCTGTCTCAGCCTCCCTTAAAGAAGGACCAAGCTGAACTGGTCCATTGTCCACTTGGCCACAAGGCCCCCCCTCCTTTGTTTCCAGTTAGACAAAGCCAGCAGAGGAGCCACAGTGGCTCCTTAATCTCCAACTGCCCCACAAAAGTGCACTGTAAGAATATTTCCAGACCAGACGTCACTAAACCATTTTGCGAGTAAGAGGAAGAAAAGAAGGAGCATATGAGTAGTTACATTTACAATGGATTTCCTGAGAACTTACTCAACACTATTTCTTTTCTGAAAAGCAAGGAGTGTCCTCTAATGCAGGTGGGACGGTTGCAAACATAAAAGTAGAATAGAGACAAACAAGATGTGTATTTTCAGCAGTGACACTGATCTGAAATAAAAGTTCCCCTCAAAATGCCTGTGAAGCTGACATTTCTGCTTAGCCCGAGGACTCTGGGTGTCTACTCTCAGTTATCAAGAGACATGTTGTTCGTGTCGTTGATGGCACTTCCTAAAATGATCTTCACTTTCCAGCTGCCACAAAGCCCACATATTGCTTCCATGTACAGCCTGGCATAATAAATGCAGAGGAAGATGCTGGATTTGTGTATCACTGGTTGTTCCTGATGTTACTAAACCTCACACAGGTGTGCTAGCGATGAGCTATAAAGTGTCACATACCTGAGTTTGAAATAAAATCACATTTCCAAACCTTTGACAGCAAATGAATGATTCCTCATTTTGTGGAGCTTGAGCCATTATCTTCACCAACTCTGGATTGCAGCTCTTCAGAGGTTAGTGCCTCCCAGGAGTCCCCAGCCCATGGGTCATCTTCCATGGGCTACTTCCCAGGGCCTGGATCAATGCCTCTCCTCCCCTGCCACATTCCTGATCCTAGTTTCCTACACCTTTCCTGCCTTCATTTTTTACAATTATGTATTGTGCTGTGATAGATGAATGGAATTTTCACTAACCTGATTTCCATAGCTATGCTATATTTTTTGGTCTTTCTTGCAAACAGGTACAGGAGACTGTAGAACTGCCAGATCTGGTTTACTAAAAAAAAAAAAAAAACCCTCCTGTCCAATATGTCACACCCTCTAATTCCTCTGTCTACCAAATTAAAAAGGTTAAATTGATGACTTGAAGTCCAAGAAGATGGCATAAACACTAGTGCAAGTTGGTTCTTCAAATGAGACTCAGCTGTGTTTAATCAAACATATTAACTAAACCCTATCTCTAGAGTGTGACAGGACAGACAGGACAGTGGTTCCTCCTAAGAGTTTCCATATCAGGTAACAAGAAATCCTGGCAACAATTCTAAATTGTATCTGACTACCCTCTTTCCCCACTAGATGTATGCCAACTATGCAAATTAGATTACAGAAAAAGGTTAATCACTGCTCAAACTAAAAATTTAGACATGGAAACTAGTTCTAGTGGATTTCTGAGTTAAAAATTAATTTCCGGGCCCTCCCTGGTGGCGCAGCGGGTTAAAGCACTGCACTAAGAAGCTAAAGCCACTTCCACATGAGTTCGATTCCCGCCTGCCCTGGAGGCAACCACAGACCTCTTCTGACCCGCCCGCTGCTCCCCTCAGCAGTGTACTTTGTCGACCTGCCTGTTCTGCTCCCCGCTCTGTCTCTGGTGAATTCTCTCACCCTCCGCATCTCTGGCCTGTAACCCAGTTCTGTACAAATAAATAAATAAATCTTTAAAAAAAATTAATTTCCAATAAATGGCTATCTTTTTCTTCCAAAAAAAAAAAAAAAAGGAATTCAACTGTGACATGAGCAAGCAAGTAATAAAATTTTAGCATATTAAACACCAAAATTCAAAAATATTCATAATAGTAGCTAGCCTCCTCTGACTACTGCATACATTTTAACCAGCACCGGGATGCTCCAATGACAAATTTTCAAAATAGGAGGCACTGGCTTGGTAGTCATGACATGAAACAAGAAAACTGGTATTGGTGACTGGAAAAATGGTGATCCATGTTATAAATAAAAAAAGTCTTACCCGTGATAATTTGAAAGACAGTCCCTGGGAAGCCAGTAGCTCTGGGAGTGGTTGGAAAAAATTAGTGCTGGAGTGTGTAAACCTTTATTGACTGCCTTTTGCAAAGTACTTAAAGAAGCATTCAGGAAAGATCTGGCTACTTGGAAGCAGAAACAAAATACAGAGTGTTCAAATCAAAAGATTGAAGGGTTAGAAAACCTGACTTCTAAACCCCAAACAGGACTAAAGCGAGCTTTCAGTGAAAAAAGAATATCTCAGTTGAGCAGACTCACTCAGTCCTATTAACAAAGGTCAGATTAAAGATATGGCCCTCCTCTCTATGGTTTCAAGTAAACTCAGTGTAGCCACTAGTTAATGAGAAAGGCAAGGAACATGGGCCTGAGAAAACAAATACACCTTGGAAATTACGACTGGGAAAGGATTATTGTATGTGGAATCAAATGGAAGCCAAGAGACCTGAAATCTAAGTTTACAAAGGAATTGAACTTACAAAGAAACATAAGCCAGGACTTAAAAACCCCTTTGATTGTTCAGACTAGAAAACAATTTTTAGGATCCTGTGCTTATGCCAACAAAAAATAGATTGCAAAAGTCATGTTATCAGCAAAAAAGGTACACTGCCTAATTTCCACTTTAAATGTGGCCAAGGAAGATTATATATAATGAAATACTACAGAGAATAAGTAGACATAGGACATGGAATTTCTTCCCCCAAAACAGAAGCAGGATCTAATAAAGAGTAGCTAACTGTGATATTCAGAATTTCTAAAATGATCCCCCCAACAAAGATATCATGTCCCAGTCCCCGGAAATTTTGAAAACGAGATATCCCTCTGGATATTATGTTACATGGTACAGTTGACCTTAAAATGGGGAGATCATTCATTGTACTCAATGTAATTACATGAACACTTAAAAGCAGACTGTTTTCTCTGGCTAATGGTAGAAGTGAAAGCAATAAAGATTAGAGGTATGACACTCAAAAATGTCATTGCTACTTTGAAAACAGAGTGGGCCATGTGAGAAGAAAGGCAAGCAGCTTCTAGGAGAGAATGGACACATCTGGCAGCAAGAGAGGGAACAGGAGCCACTGTCCTACCACTTCAAGGAAATTAATTCTGCCAACCACCTGAATCATCAGTTGATTCAGCCATATGGATTCTTCCCCAGAGCTTCTAAGTGGGAGTCCAGTCCAGTCAATACCTTGATTTCAACCTTGTGAACTCCAGAACAAAGGACCAGTCTGACCTACAGAACTGTGACATAATAAATGGGCAGTGCTTTAAGATGCTATGTCTTAGTAATTTGTTTTGCAGCAACAGAAAACTGACATCCATGGTAGTTAATTGCCAGCCACTGCAGCACGAGTTTGACCCTGGAAAGCCAGGTTCAATGTAGAATGTTTGAAAATTGTGGCTTATATCAGATGACCAACCCACCTAGACCCTTGATTACCAAATATATTATGCTCACCCAGGACATGTCTGGGAACATTTAATTTGAGCCTGCAGAATTTCTGTGAATGAAAGATCTCCTCCTGGGAGAATGATGGTTGAGGAGTGGAGCGAGCTTTGATCTGGGCACTGAATATAAGGGAGAGCAGAGACCCTGCAAATGCCAAGGAATTTGGTGTGGGGTGCCTGGTCCCTGTTTTCCAGGCCCATCTACACTTTCTTTTTGTCCCTCACTTTTTCAACACCTATCCACTCTCCCACCCACCACATGGCTCCCTTCCCGGCCCCTCCCACTCTTACCCCCTTCCTTGTCCCCTCTTTTGAAAGAAGTCTTAAGCTTCTACTCCCTCCTGAGAGGTTGTGTACTCGATACTTCTTTTCTTTCTTGTCCATTTTCTGTTCCTTTTTCTTGCTTTGGAGACAAGGAACAGAAATTCCCCATTCTTTTCTCAAATGCTAGCACTATTTTCTCTCTCAGCTCCCTCTGATCTTGGCTTATATTCCCTTTCAGGGTGCCTGGCCCACAAACATGATTGGACTATTAAAAAATAAATTTAATATATTTGGTTCCTTGACATCCCTCCTATAAATGAGACCACTCAATATTTTTCTTTTTCTTTCTTATTTTTAAAAAATTCTCTTCATTTTATTTTTAGAGATTTATTTATTTATGTGTACAGAAGTGGGGTACAGCTAGATGTGCATGTGTGGCAAGCAGAGCACCCACATGTTTCAGCAGACCGCTCCTGCTTGGCTCACTGCTGCTCTCAGCAGTGTATTTCAGAAGATCTGCCTGGTTTGCTCACCAATTCAGTCTCTGGTGAATTCTCTCTCTCACACACACCTCCCCATACCTCTGGCCTACACCCCAGTTCTTGTATGCACAAATAAATCTTTAAAAAATATATATCAAATGTACAAGGAAGTCCCAAGGGAAGCATGAAGACAGTGTCTTCTGTATTGAAGTGGGTGTTTCCTGTCATGAGCCTCCGCATCTTTCCTTAGAGAGCACAAGGATATGCAGCTGGAGTAAAAACATCACAGATTGTGAGAGGAAAAGAAATACACACCAAACTCAATTTCCTTTCGAGACAGAGTATATAAATGAATGAGCTCCAGAGACAATAACAATGAATGGTGTGAGAACGGAGCTGGTGGGAGGTGGGTGGTGGCAGAAAATATGGGAATTGAGAAAACTCCAGTAGTTCACTCTGTGCTATCTGCCTTCTTCATTTGTGTGTTTTCTGAGTAGCGTTAGCTAAATTTTCCAGAAGGCTAGCCACAAAGTACAGCCTGGGCATTCAAGGGACGTCACTCATTTCCCCCAGTGACCTTGACAAGTCAGAAGCATGAAAGCAGGGAAATCTGGATGTCTCAGATATGAAGTGGAGTAGTGAGGGCCCCATCATATTTCCAGAACTCTTCATCCAGCCTAGTGACTATCTGCCTCTGTAACTGCCAGTGGACATCTGAAGTGCTTCTCCAGGTTTGAAGTAGTAGGCACGATGGCCAAATGTTTCAGTCTAGTATTGTTTCTTGCCTCCATCTGGACCACAAGGCTTCTGGTCCACGGCTCTCTCCACAAAGAAGGTAGGTTGGTTTTTGTTTTTTGTTTTTTTACCAGATTTCCAACTTGAAAGGCTAGATTTTGCAAGCTATCTTAAACCTAAGTCCTTGAATGTGAACTAAGACTATTTCTAAGAGTGAAGGCAACCCTCAGTATCAACAGAGGATCTATTTGCTAGTAAACCTCTTCCAGAAATGTTTTGGTCATATTGTCAGCTTCATCAACCTAATTGACATTTACCTTTATGTTTTATTGACTTTTATTTTTGGTTATGAAATCTTTTTAATGGAAACAGTTTGAAACAAAACATTGAAAAGAGAAATTTTTTAAAAGTGTTTTACTGAAGAAGCAAACCATGATTAAGAGAATTTTTAAGCAATCATTAATCCTGGGTGAAGTAACTAAATTTCACTAAATATTTATATTTCTGGAAGTGCCAGTAAATTATTTTTATTTTACTATATTATCATGGAATGTATTTGTTTTTAATATGCAATAAATAGCAAATTAAATGGAAAAAAATCTGTGAAAATTAGTTTAACCATCAGCTCCCTAAAAAAGGAATGATTTGAAATGACTTCTGGGCTTTTAAGATGCCTAAATGGTAATCTCATTCTGAGCTGAGAGCAAAAAATTGTAACCACAAATCATTCATTACAGTTCTGAGCAAATGAAAATCTAAGTATCTTAAAAAGAAAATTATGTGCTCCTGTGTGCTGGAAGATGCCCTGAGACATAAAATATGTTGGGAACAGGCTTCCAGAAACCAAAAATTGATTCATCTATTGTATATGATTTTGTAAGGGAGATTAGAGCTATATATTTGACTTTTCTCTGCATGACTAGAACTGTTACTTTCAAACAAGTTTGGTCTTCTTTGAAATGTCATTGGGGAAACTATTCATTCTCCCACATATTGCTACTACTACCATTTTGGAAACTTTTGACAATGACTCTATCACATTCTTTTGACCATCCACAATGATGGCAAAATTTTATGATGAAAACTGATTTTCAGAGACAGTTATTTAAAATCATTATTGGGGGAAACAAGGTGGTCAGTGAAGGTGTTTTTGAGGCCTATTATGTAAAGATAAGGAATTAAGAACATACATAAAAATTGATTTCATTTTCTCAAGAAGATGAAACAGTGAGGCCAAGTGATTTGCCTATTGTCATAAAGACAATAAATAAAGCTTGGGTTTGAATTCCTCTCTGACTCCTAAGCAAATTCTCCTACACTTACTGTAACCCCGTGGATTCTAGTTCCCTATTTTTTGCCCTTAAATGATATAAGGCAACATACAATTAACTAATATTTGTTGACTACCTACCATAGACCCACCCTCTTCTAGGTACAAGTTACCTAATTTAACTCTAGCACAAATTCTATGAAGAAAATATAATCATTCCCATCTTACAAATAAGAATGCTTACTTGCCCAAGATTCCTCAGCCAATTACCAACAGAAGAAATGCAAACCTAGTACTATTCACCTGGAATAGGTCTTTTGTTATTGTAAATAATAACTTTATAGTGTAATTAATAAATGTCTGCAAAGATTCCCAAAGAAGTAGCCATAGAGAATTGAACAATTGTAAGAGCATGAGCTAAAAGAACCTAATTTCAAGACATAATAGCGTTCAGAGAGTTCAGTGTGTGTGTGTGTGTGTGTGTGTGTGTGTGTGTGTATTCATCTTCTCTCTACAGCAGAGCAGGGGAGAGAATAAAGTCCTAGTAAAGAATTAGGGTTTTAAGTCAGTCGTAATTGTGATTCTGCTCCCAAGCTGCCACATTTATCCTTGGATTCCATATCCTTAGGCTTGGGAAAGTTACTTAATTTCTGAGCCTCAATTTTCTGCTAAAAAAGACAGGGTCTGGCACAGAGTAACATCAATGGATTAAAGATGTTGAAATAATGTAAATGTTAAGTAATACTAGTATTAATATCCATATTGGTAAGGTGGTTATAGTAGTATATACAGTCATAACCATTTGTTAGATCATAAAATTGGATTGAGTATTGGCTCTCTGGCGAAAGCAGTGTCAGGAAGCAAACAAGACTATCCACAAAAACTATATATCATATCCATATTCTTCCTCCATGTCCTTTGCTCAAGAGCACAGGAGGTCACTTGGAGAACTTAGAATAGAAAGTAGTCAAAGCATTTGATAGGGCTGCCAATGATCTGTGTATAAACAATTACAGGGAGATTGAAATGCCCTTTCATGGAGTTTTGTGGATAAAGCCTAACTGGAATGTTACCATTTCACAATTTCACTGGGGTCTATAAATCCCAGAACCTACTGGGAAGGGGTCAAAGAACTCTCAAATTCACTAGGCTTTCAGTAAAATATAATTTACATCTTTACTGTTCAACTGTTTCAGCTTTCTGAAGTTAAGAAATCATTAGAAAACTAAAACCAAAATGCTCTGAGGGTAACACAGTGATAAAATATTATCTATGATGTAGCTACTATATATTATGTATGATGCATCTACTATGCAGCAGGCAATATAATAAGCATTTTATTTTAATTAATTCACTTACCTCTCACTACCCCCATATAATAGGTACTATTGCTCCTTCAGTTTTAAAAAAAGGAATTGAGGCCCTCCCTGGTGGTGCAGCGGGTTAAAGCACAGCACTGAGAATCTAAAGCCGCTTCCGCATGAGTTCGATTCCCGCCTGCCCCGGAGGAGACCACATGGCGTGGCAGACCTCTCCTGACCCGCCCGCTGCTCCCCTCAGCAGTGTACTTCGTCGATCTGCCTGTTCTGCTCCCCACTCTGTCTCTGGTGAAGCCTCTCGCTTCCCCTGAGCCTCTGACCTGTACCCCAGTTCTGTATGCACAAATAAATAAATCTTAAAAATAAATAAATAAATAAAGGAATTGAAACTTAAAGAAATGAAGTGAATGGTGTAAGATCACAGAGCTGGTAAGCAACATGGGCTAGATTCAAATATAGGTCTGACTCTAAGACTCTTCTTCCTTTATTAAACCTTTTTGTCATGCAAAGTACACTGCCCAACTTCTCCAGAAACTTCTGAGTAAGCCTGCCCCCCTATGGCTAGAGAAGACCTGGAACTGAGAGAGCCCACATTCTGTTTTACTAAGTGCAACATTTTTCATGCTATCTCAGAAATAGCAGTGTCCACAGCCCACGCTGGTTTGTAGTGTTGTTAAAATTCTACTAAAAGCCCAAATCCTATCCTTCTCAAAGTCTCAGACTCCTCATTTTATAGACTCCAAAACAGTTGGCAGCAACTGTATCATCTAGACCCCACCCTGGAAACTTGTAGCCAAAGCCTCCCTGGAATGAACAAGGCACTTTAATGCAATAGGATATGATGGACTCAGATGTGGTAAGTACAGATTGGATCACAGCAGACCTCCACCTATTCTGGCAAGATGTCTTTGTGAGAAATGGCTGGTTATGTCATTTCTAAACCTCAATCCCAGCCACATGAATCACTTTGATGCATCAAGTCAATACTGTTTTGCTAGGGGCTGAGAACAAAACAGCAGTAAATTGAGGACCAATGTGATTCCTTTGCAGAACTTTCCATCTCAGTGCCATGCAGACTTATGGGAGTCACTCTTGTGACAACTAAAAACACAGCTCAGCAGATGAATCTCACAGAAGCAACAGAGGCCTGTAGACTGCTGGGACTAACTTTGGCTAACAAAGACCAGATTGAAACAGCATGGAAGTATGGCTTTGAGACTTGCAGGTGAGAAGTAGCTGGATTCACTAACACTGCTGGAACCCTTTAAGCTCTCTGTTCTTATTTAGCTATAGAGATTAATATATCCATTCAATTAAATGTACTCCTTTTACAGCTATGGATGGGTAGAAGATAAGTTCTTGGTCATCCCTCGGATTTTTGCAAACCCCAAGTGTGGTAAGAATGGAGTAGGTGTCCTGATTTGGAGAAGTTCAATCAACAAGAAGTCTAGTGCCTACTGTTACAACTCATCTGGTAAGTCAGATCTATAACCTCTCCATGTGGCATGTTTCTGTAGTTTTATGACCTGTTGGAGAAGAGGAACCTTAAGCAGCAGCAAAAGCAACTTTGACAATAGCCATTTAATCCTCCCCAACACAACCCCTGTGACCAGGCCCGAGGGGATGATATGCTGCTCAGAAGAAAAAGCTAGGGAAAATATGACTGAATGGCAATGTAGGATAGCACACCCAGGAAGTTTTCATTGGCCTCGTTCCTCAATCCTATAAGATAAACAGGAAAAAAGGGAAGGAAACATCCACTGTGGATAAAGTAATGTACAAAGTTATCTCACTGAACTTTGACAATCTTCCTATGAGGTATTCTTTATTATCCATGTTTTGCAGATGAGAAAATTTATCTCAGAGGACATAAGTAAACTACAGTATCATTACTCTAAAGATTCAAACACAAGTCTAACTCCAAGGCCATGTTCTTTCCATCATCTCACATTCTTCTGCAGGAGAGAAATTCAGGTGCTATGTCTGATATTTTAAGAACCTTTCCAGTTTATGAAAGAAGACGTTGAAACAAGAAATTAGAACTGATTCATTCGTGGTCACACAGTTGTCCTATTTACTTTGCCTGGAGACCTCAGCCACCTTAGCTCAAATAATTTACCTTGAAAATTGCTCAGAAATTTTTTCTTTTGCTAAAACCTTGCTCTGTTTGTCATAAGAACCTCTGTCTGAATTATTACTCTTCATACATACGCATAAGGCTAATATTATAAAGCTTCAATGACTGAGCAGTCATACAAAATGACAGGTATAAAATCACTCTCTAAGACCTAAGAGGTCTCAGAGAGGTTCAGCAGCAGCATTATGCTCCTCCAGGCCAACATAGATCTAAGCAATTCCTTAAATGAGGGGGCTTTGGCATAGGAAAGGTCCTCAAAGATGACTCATCCAAATTCCTCACTTCGTGGATGAAACTACTATAGAATGGAGATTGGTCTTACACAAACTCCTAAGATAGTCAAGAGTAGCACATGAACCTTCTTCCAAAATTTTTTTCATTATACTGCTTCTCTCATCTGCCTCTTCAACCTATCTTCAGGTGGGGAATTGGTAATTAACATGCCTGTCAAAAACTGAGTAGTCTTCCTTTCAGTTGTCAGTGTGATTTACATGACTGATACCCAATCCCCTGGTTTAAACAAAAGCATTTATATGTTTTCTCAGAGTTTCATTTTATCCCCTGTATTTCCTGTATACCTAAAGACAGGTCTAGAAATTTGATTAGACTGAGGTTCAAGATTTTTGGCAAAAAAAATCAACATATCTGAAACAGTTCACAACAAAAGATACTTAGACTCAGTCTGTCCCACTATTAATATACTAGAATTGATCATTTGAGTAAGATTGTGAACACCAGACCCCTCTAGATAAAATAATCAAGGTGTGCTTCCCCCTTTACATGGAATAAGTTATCTCTAAGTGTGATATTCTGACACCATGCAAATAGAGGACCTCCAACTATCTTTTATCTTGTAACTTAAGCAGTGATAATTGATCCTTACAGGAATTGCTTATTACATGAGGGCTGCAAAATGGTGATTTTTTTTCTAACTCTTTTTTTCCTTCTACATTTATTAGCTGACATTCTTTGCTAAATAAGACTCTCTCACACACACATACTTCCTCCCTCCCTCCTTTTTATACCATCACTTTTACTTTTATAATTAAATTTATAATTATTAACCTTTTGTTTTTTTGAGGCTCAAATTGTCCCAAATTTGGCAAATGGTAACCCCCTTCTAGTTGACTTTTGTGCCCTTTATCCCATAAATATCTGAGCATTTCCTTACTTTCTGACAAAATAACGTGTCTAACTTCACTTTTTGCTTTCTCTGTGCCTGGCATGGAATCAGTCATTTACTTCTCCAAGGAGCCCTTTTCTTTTCTTTTCCTTTCTTTTTCCTGTTTTCCTTCCCTTCATTTTCTTTGCCTTTCCTTTTTTAATGGAGAATGTTAATTAGGAAACAAGATCTGCATACAAAATGTTCTTATTATTGCTAGGCATTTTATTGCTTCTCCAGGTCTTCATTTTTGGGGGGCGGGGGGCAGACAACCAAAAATATTTTTATTATGAATTGTATTGATATTTTCAACTCAAGTTTTTTCATATGTTTGCCTTATATTTGCACCTTTTTTGTCTTACATGGAAAATCTTATTTCCCAATACATAATATATTTTCTTGATCCTAAAATAGTTTCCAACTTATAAAACCATCATTACTAGGAACAGTAAGCCTAGTAGTGGAATTTAAGATTTCTTTTAGTTCTTAGAAGACATTAACACTAAAAACTGTCAGAGAATTGTGTGCAAATTTAACTTGCAAAAATTTGCTACTTTGTGGTTATAGTAGCACTTTGAATAAATTAAGATTCACTGCTTTTGCTTACTATCTTTATGAGTGTCAGAGTTACCCTAACTCATCCTAACACTAGTTCTAAACCTATCCCATTTCTTTGTTTTTGTAACTATTATGTGAAGTCTGGTAATCAGAATAACTCCACCCTATCCTAAACCTTACCCTAATTGTCTTTCTTATGGCTACCTTTATGAGCTTTGGAGATCAGACCAAAGAGCTTTTCATCTTTGATGTACAACATCTGCTTCATCGGTTCCCTCTACCACAATACCCAGCTCCTCATCACCTGACTAACTCTAATCTGTTCAAATCTCAAATGCTAACTTCTTTTTTTTTTTTTTAGTTTTTTTTTACTTCTTTGAGACTGAGACTTTTTTTTTAAATAACATAGTAGTTTATTTTTACATTATTTTGTGCCTTTTCCCATCTCAATTGTAATCCCCATGGGCTTCCCATCACCAAATCATCGATGTGCCATAGCCATAGTTCAGTGCACTTCCCTCCCCCCACCGTTTTTGACCTCATGCCCCACTCCACCTCCATAAAATGTCTCTGGTATATAGTTGGTCATCATTATTATTTTTTTTTTCTCGCCTGGTCCTTTATACTTCTGCTATGAGTGAAATCATCATTATTTTTCCTTTTCTTTCTGGCTTATTTCACTAAGCATGATCTTTTCCAGCTCCATCCATATTGCTACAAAAGGCATGTATTTATTTATTTTTGAGTAACATTCCATTGTGTATATGTACCACATCTTTTTAATCCAGTCATCTACTTTTGGGCATCAAATTCTTAGGGAAACTTTCCTTTAGTTTTGAACTCCAGCCATACTCTGTGTTTAGTGTCTTCCGGAGTACTTCACACATTTTAGAGAAATTATATTTATCATTTAAAAGGAAAGGTGCCAACACTTTCAGTTGCCATTCACTAGTTAGGGACCATGCTGTTGCTCCCTTGCTCTGTAGCCTTTTGGGATGTATTTAATGAAGAAAAAGAAAAAGGACACTAATTCTTAGACATTACACACTATCCTCATCTATTACAGTAGGCCCAACATATTATCTATCTCATAATGATTAAGTGATAGTCCAGTGTATCATTTCTACTTTCCAGGAGAAATGACTCATGCTTAGAGGTTACCATGCTGTGGCCACAATCATGAAGAGAAAGAGCTAGGATTTAAATCATATGCTACTTCCAAGTAGCACCTTCTATGGTGATAACATGTCAACATACCAGTCCCAGGGTAGGACCTGGCCATCAATATCTTTTCAAAGTTCCCACAGCCAAGGTTGAGAATCACTTTCTTCTAGATTTATAAGATCTAAAATTTAGAATTCCAGATTCTTCTGGATTCTGCTATTTCTGTACAATTAGAAGAATCTTTGCTCCTGAATTGTACTCTCTTCCCTCTGCATTCACTCCTCCCCATCTCTCCACTTAAAACTCTATTACTCCTTGGCCCCACAGCCTTAGATTACTCCCTCTTTGAGAATATGATCAAACCTGTGAAGTTTTTTATACATAAAATTGGAATATATGAGGGCTTTTGTAGATCAGTGAGGACATTTGTTGCCTCCCATTGAAAATTCTCTCTCCACAGAATAAATGCCAAATTCTTAAACATTGCAATTATGAATCTCAATATACTGGCACCAACCTATCATCCCAGTCTTATCTCCTATTTGCAATCTTTCATTCCTTCAGTCATACACACCCCTACACTCAAGTCACAGTACATTCCTAGGCATTTTTATGACATACTTACGCCTTCAAATTTCTAGGTTCTTGGATCATGCTATTCCTATTGACTGAGAGATTCTATTCTATTCCTCTTCAATACTAGATAAACTGCTACTCTGTTCCAGTCATTCCTCTTCTATACTAGATAAACTGCTACTCTGTTCCAGTTATGCTGATCTTTTTACTCATCAACCTTTGTATTCATTCAACTTCAGGCTCTTGAACTTCCTGTCCTCTTTACTGAAACACTCTTGTCCTAGATCTTCAGTGACTGTCTACTTTTCATTATTCAGGTCTTAAGTGTCACCTCCCCACAGAGACGTTCTCTTATTACTCTATCCAGAGTGTGTGTCCCTTACTTTCCACCCTATCGGCTTAATCCTTGTCCTGTGTTTACTTTCCTTCTCTTCTGAAATGTCTGGATTTTTGTTTTTGTTATTATTTTTGCTCTTCAATGGCACCCATGTTCTCTTATAAGCAGGGATTTTGTCTTGCTATCATCTAGAACTATACCTGAGTTGGTATTCAGTAAATATTTGTTGAACCTGTGCACTAATCTTTCATACCCTTACCAAATGGCAGCATATTAGTGATCTCCCTGACCCTGATCAAAATACTCCTTGCTCTTGGAAGAAGAAACCACCATATTTATCTCTAATCTTTTAGTGCCCAACACAGTATTTTGTGCTCAATTTATTTCTCCACCAACACTGAAAATATTTTCATTATGAGGAAAGAACTTAGCATATTCTAAAAAATGAAAAATGTAGCTAAATGTTTAGGGTAGAGAAGGTCAAGGATGATGTCTATTTGAACAAAGGTCTTTTCAAAGTGTAACATACTGACTGACTGCAGGTGTTGTCAAAATGTCTTCTCAAAAATATCCATTACCTTGATAATTTATTCAATTCTCAAAAATGAATGAAATAACTTTTTCTTTGTAGTTAACATTCCAATTGCTGCAACCCACTGCCATAAATAACTAGTGATTTTAATAGATGTAAATTTATTTTACAATATGCTGTATATACTAATAGTATATACATATAGTAATAGTATATTACTGCATATACATATGCACATATTCCATATACATATATTAACAGTATACTGCATATACTAATTGTGACCAAGTTGGCCTAAAATTTAATCTGAGACCTGCAGAAGTAAGAGTTAGCTAAATAAAAAGAAGCTTAAGTCTTCTAGGTAAAGGAAGCATCCTGGTCAAAGGTATGGATATGAGAGAAAGCATCTTAAAGAACTGAAATAATTTCAGTGTAGCAGTATTAGAAAAAGACTGAGCAGATGAAACTAACCTTGTGAACTAACTAACAGGGGCCAGATCATGAACGACCTGATAGGCCAGTAGAGGCAGTCACTGAAGGATTTTGGGGAAGAATATAATATGATTAGATTTGTACTTTTGGAAGATCATTTAACTGCAGTATAAGCAAACAGAAGAGTTTGTAAGAATAAGACTAGTATCAGTTAGGAAGCTATTGGAATACTTAATTGTTATTTTTCCCCCTCTGCCAACAGATACGTGGGTTAACTCATGTGTTCCAGAAATTATCACTACCCAAGATCCCATACTCAACACTCAAACTGCAACATATGCAACAGAAATTACTGTCAGTGACAGCACATATGTCACATCATCTACTGATGGACCTTACTCTACAACACAAACTCCTCCTTCTACCTCTACTCCTGCTCTGGCTTCCACTTCTACTGCACGGAAAAGAAAATTAATTTGTATAACAGAAGTTTTTATGGAAACTACTACCTTATCTGCAGAAATGAAGTTATATATTGAAAATCAAGAAGCAATCAAGCATGAAACTGTTGGGTTTGGAGGTAAGAGCTTTCTCTGTGTGTGTGTGTGTATGTGTGTGTGTGTACACAGAAAATACATAGAAACTATCCTAGATCCAGATTTGGTGCTTAGGACCTATCAAATACAAATAAAAGCTTAAAGCAAACTCAATTTTTATACAATTGTGGAACTTGAAGGCTCAAAAGAAACATTAAAAATATGAAAAGAATTTCACTTTTTTTTTAAAGATTTATTATTTATGCATACAGAACTGGGGTACACGCCAGCGGGCAGGTGCAGTGAGAGGATTCACCAGAGACAGAGTGGGGAGCAGAACAGGCAGAACTGATGAGGAACACTGCTGAGGGGAGCAGTGGGCAGGCCAAAAGAAGTCTGCCACGCCATGTGGATCACCTCTGGGTGGGGGGGACGAAACTCATGCTGAAGAGGCTTTAGCCTCTAAGGGCTGTGCTTTAACCTGCTGCACCACCAGAGAGGGCCAAAAGAGCCCTTTTAAACTCATAAAGACTTTAAAAAATATAGCAGTTTCTCTAATGGCATCATTTCATTCAATGTCACTTTGTTATAATGTTGATGAGGAAAGCAACCGGTTCCCTGCCAGGGCTACTGTTTGTGTAGTTTGCTGGTTTCTCCCCACTGCTGGAGTAGGAGTACTCAGGTTTCCTCCCACATCCCAAAGGTACACCTTAGGTTTATTGGCATATCTAAATTGTTTCAATCTGAGTGTGTGTGTGAATGTGTGTGTGTATACCATGCAATGAAAGGTATTCTGTCTAGAGCTGGGTCTTCTTTGTATCCTGAGCTGCCAGGATAGGCTCCAGTGGCCAGCAAGCTTGAACAGTAATAAGCGGACTGGAAAATAAACAAATTAATGCAAATTATTACTTAATATTAGGAGCATTCTGGGTCTTTATTCAGAAATTTGATGTTTTTATGATCAGAAATATGCCATCTGAACTTAAACTTATTTATGTCAGTTAACATGTGATAAAACTGGTTGTGTTAGATGTCCTTTCTCTTACTTGCAATACCAAGAAAACTACTGATGACATTAAACAATGACTTACTATAAACTGTATCTATTAATAGCTAGTACTTTTTAAAATATATACCTTAAATGCTTAGGATAAGAAAGTTTGTTTACACTTTATTAACTCCAAACTTATCTCAAGGCCACAGAGTGGAAATGGACTGTGACTTATAACTTATTGCAGCCTGGCAAGGCCAGTGATTCGCAGACACAAGCAAAGCAGCAGATGTGGTTCCAACATTGTAAGTGGCTTCTGTGAAGTCAGAGAAGGCTTTTCTCCTATACTCTGTTGGGCCAATCATATGCAAAGGTGAAATGTTAGAACTGGTATGCAGTGTGCAATGTCTACGCGAAGCACCAACAGGCTTGTCTCTGTCTCCTCTAGGTGTTCCCACGGCTCTCCTGGTGCTTGCCCTCCTCTTCTTTGCTGCTGCAGCTGCTCTTGCAGTTTGCTATGTCAAAAGGTGGGCTTGTTGGTATTAGCCTTGTCATCTTTATCCTATCTCTGTTTCTGGCTGTTATTACCAGTTTCTTGGTCAAAATGGAGATGGGAATCCTTTTAGAATATAATGTTCTCCTTTATCTCACCTCTCTTCCTTCCTTACTACAGTCTTTCCCATGATTTCAGCATTTTGTTGGGTGCATGTAATTTAGCCTTTAGCTATAAATTAATGCTGTTCCTTTGAAAATCAAGAAAAAAAAGATGTATATGCTTTATTTGATATTTGATTTTTGATTCTTTGTTTTCAGTGGGAGGGTTGTGCAGTCACCCTAAAGTTTGGTATGAACTTAGTGAATCCACTAAAGTCAGAATGTGTTCATGCACCTGAGTATACAGGAAATAAAGTTCTGGGGACTGCTGAAGTAAAGCTCCCCAATGTACTGTGCCCAAATGGGCCATCACAAACAAAGTGTTATCTAGCTATATGTGCTACATAGATGTTTTTCACTTTAATTTTATGTTTATGACTACAGGTATGTGAAGGCCTTCCCTTTTACAAACAAGAATCAGCAGAAGGAAATGATTGAAACCAAAGAAGTGAAGGAGGAGAAGGCTGATGATAGCAACGCTAATGAGGAATCAAAGAAAAATGATAAAAAGTCAGAAGAACTCAACAATACACCCAAAAGTACAGTTCGATGCCTGGAAGCTGAAGTTTAGGTGAAAAAGAAGTGAAAGGACACATTGAGGCCAATTTCTTTCCTGATACCTATATCAGCCCCAGATGGGGAAACTAAAAGGACTATTGAACCAAACAAGGAAGTCCACCTTGACTCCTAACTGCAGTCAGCTCAGGGCTACCTTCAGGAATTCACCAAAGGGAATTTCACTCTTTTTAGAACAATCCTTAATGGAACCTATCCTCCCACCAAAGTATCCCACAACCCTTCTAGTCTAGTTTTGTCTTAAAGATATCCCACGGGGAGAAAAGAGCTTTGCAAAAGCTCAACGGACCTAAGACAACTAATCAACACATATATACAAAGAGACTTCTAGGCTGACTGAGAAAAGGTGAGTTGAAAGCCAAGAAATTACCAGGACCAAGGTTTTCCTTCCTGACTCTACAATCAGATTCCTTCTTCAGCTCTGAAAAGGAAATACTTGTACCACAAGCTTGTCCACCTAAGTCAGGCAGGAACAAAAAAGGAAGAGTTTAGCAACTGAAGGCCATGGAGATTCCCATGACTTTGAGTCCTGACTCTATAAAGCCAAAATAAATAGAGGGAAAAAATGAGGCTCAGGATATTGACAACATATTGTCATTAGAGACTGAAAATATAGACAGGGTCAAAGTATTCATCTATGAATAATTTCAGTCATAATCAATTTTTAGAATATAACATACAATTTTGTCTTTTTCCTGCTGCTGCTGGCTATTTTCTCTAAAGAATATACTTTTAAAAGAAAACAAAAACTCTCTTTTAAATTTCTGTTTTTATCTGAGTTATAGAAATTATTATTGAAGAAACTACTGCAATAAAGCAATAAAATTTAACAAATGTTTTCTGAATTTCTACTATATGCCAGGTCTTGTGTAAGGCATTACATTCTGTAACTGAATATTATTCATAAGGAATTAATATTGTAGAATGCTGCATAAAGCTAATTTTCTTCCAGTTTTGATATTCCTCAGTTATCCACTTCCAAAACTAATTTTTTTTTTGGCTGAGACTAATCTGCTCATTATTTTCTCTTAATGGCAACCATTATAACCTTAATTTATTATTAACCTATCTTTAAAAAGTACATTATTACCTCTATACAAAAACATGCATTTTAAAAGTGTCATTAGCAAATGTTTCACTAGCTCTCCTTTTTCCAGCAAGAAGAGACTGAAAGGTGCAGAAATATTTGTACTGAGAAAAATAAAAGCATTTAGAAAATTTCTTTGCTCTCTTATTGACATATGGAATACACACTTCATTTTTGAACAATAGTGAACTACCGGTTCCACTTACACATGGATTTTTTTCTAGCCATGAGTTCTGCATTCACAGACTCAACTAACCTTCGGACACAGGTTGATTGAATCCACAGACACAAACACAGGAGCAACTAAAATGGACTTGATCATCTGTGGATTTTGGTATGGAGGTGGTGGCAGGGGGAGGGAGTCATCCTAAAACTAATTCATGTGGATACTAGATGAGAACTATATAAAACTGAAGTTTTTAGGGAGTCAAAAGTTATATGGCGATTTTCAACTGTGTAGGGTCATGCCCCTAACTCACACATTGTTTAAGGGTCAACTATAATTTGTTGTTTGGGTAAGAGATATAACTTTGGTGTTTGAACGACAAACATATGTAAATCATCATATGGAACTGTTCTTGCTTCAGAGGGGTCTTATTTTAAGTTGTCAAATATAACACCTAAACTAGTACTTCACTTGAGATTCAGGTCTACATTATAGACTACTTCAGAGTTCACAGGGAGCTGGAGATTCAGCATAGCTTGTCTGTCCTGTTCCTCCAGCTTTCTCTCTCCTCTCTGTAGTTCATCTCTCCTTGGACTACTAATACCTTCTTCCCCTCACCAGTAACCACATAGCTCCATGATCTTTTCATCTCAGAGGCTATAAGCTATTTATTAACTGGCCCACAGAGTATTATTTTAAAATTTTCCTTAATTGAAAAAAATTAAAATTTAAGAGATTTCACAATTTTATTTCTGGGTTTCCTCTGAAAAATGAGAAAACCTGGATATAGACAAACTATTTATTCCCTTATAGTAATAATCATTCAATACTGATTTAATACTATTAAATCCACTGACTTAATACGATCCCCTTTAAGTGAGCTATACTCTCTCCACTTCACCACATTCCTCACCACTTTATTGCAGCTTTATGCCAAAGTAAGGGTGCAATTTCCTATGGGTCCTGTAATATTTTTGCCTATATGATTGCCTTTTCTTTCACACCCAGCCCAATTCACACATTTAAAATCTGCCTGACCCTGAGGTCTATGAATTTGAGGTTCTGGTTTGTTAGTACTTAGACATTATTAGCTTCATCCAGTTTTCAGGGAGTGAGGAAGAAAATGGGGGAAAGAACCTAAAAAGTGGTTTTCCTTTTATATGTATTAGCTGAAAAATAATCTTATCTTCCAATAGCTCATACATTCTGTGGGCATATACTATATGTAAATATACTATAATCATCTACTATTAATTTACATATATAGACAGGCATATATCCTACTCAGGAGAACAACGAGAAAAGAAGATATACTCCATTTAACCAATACACACTCTCCACAGCCCAAATATCATTTGCAAACATACTGGTGAAAAATGTCATATTTATTCTATATTAGTAGACAACCATCATTTTCACATATGGCTCCACTTAATCACCACATCTTCCCTGAGAAGAATTATTACTGACATGTCTTTGTTAATTAGAAAATTATAATTTCAGAGGAGTTAAGTCACTTTCCTGACCTCATGGGTCTAGTTAAGTGGTAAAGGTAAGATTTAATCCCAGACTAGAAACCATATTTCTTTCCTTACTCTACTTTGCTTCTCTTGCAAACAACAATATAGAAATGTAAACTATTCAATACGCAAACTTGAAATTAGTCACTTGCCAAAAACAACAGTGGTGAAATAATGTTATGATTTCAAGAGTCCTTCTTAAATCCACTTGCAATAATAAAGAAATAAGAGGAACATTGACAAAGTTTGAGAACTATCCCTTCATTGTTGCAGATGCCAACCTCAACAAAGACTTACCTGTCCAACTCATCTGCCCAAAAAAGGTCAGAAAGATGTGAAATAAGTTCTTCTTAACTTTTTCATGACCTATACAAATGAAATGTCACAAGAAGCTAGAATCAGCATCTTCTAGACGTCTCCTTCTCCCTAGACCAATTCTCTTTATTCTCCATTGAACCAAGAGAAATTAGAAAACTATAAGGGACCACCCAAGTTCAGATCTACAACCCAGTCTACTAGTAAGACAAATAGACAAGACATATAATTACATTCCCATATCAACCAAAGGACTTCCCTATTTAGAAATGTACTTCACGCCTCACTCTCTGGCTCAAACAGTATAGAACTCCTTTATGCAAAGTTTCTCTGTCCGAGAAGGAGTTCCTTCTAAAACTGCATGTTTTTATTTTTAGGATGTATTTTTATTATTTATGCATGCAAGAACTGGGGTGTAGGTCAGAAGTGCAGGGGAGAGAGTGAATTCACCAGAGACAGTTGGGAGCAGAACAAGAAGATCTACTGAAATGCTCTGCTGAGTGGGCGAGATGGGAGAGGTCTACTGCCCCTTGTGGATCAAGCTCATGTGGCAGTGGCTGGTGGTAACTTGATAATGCTGAAACTTTAACCCCTGTGCCACCAGAGAGGCCCCAAAACTGCATGCTTTTATAAAGGCCAGACCAACTATCAAATATAAACATGCCAAAATGTATCCAATAAAGACAAGTTTAATTCCAAGGCTAGAAAGCTGAAGTAAAGTGGATGACTTGAGCCAAAGGTATGCTTGAGCATAGAGGGAGTTCATAAATGTCCATTGTCTTAAACAAAATTGAATCATATGGATTCTCAGAAGAAAGATTCTTGCATTTCATTACCCTTCTCTAGACCTTTATCTCATACCCAAAGCAAAGTCAGTCTCTTTGGAGCAGAACAAGCACCATCTGACATGGGCAGTTACAAAAATATGCAAGTAAACAAATTCTTACTTAAGAATGGAAGTGTTGTGCCAGAAAGAAAATGTTTGTCTCCAAACAGGAAGAAAACAATTATTTGTCAGTTCAATCTTCTTGTTAAATGTAAATAAAATTTAGTTGTTTATCCTATAATAGTTTGTATGGGAGACCAAACATGACCTCAGAGCACTTTAGTAAGATTAAAGTTAGCTGGGAGCACTCCACTCTCCATATGTCCCCAGGGTATGCTGAAATTCTCAAACAGCACTAATGTGATTTAAGATGTCCCTCTATAATCTAGAATGCAAGCCTTTCAAATAAACTTACTTTAGAAAAGTTTTAAATTTACCAAAATCATCATGAATATCATACAGAATTTCCCTACATTCCACACCCAGTCACCATTACTAGCATCTTCTATTAGTATGCTGGATTTGTCATGATTCATAATCTGATAGTAATACATTATTATTAATTAAAATCCCTACTTTATTCCAATTTCCTTGGTGTTTACCTATTGTCTTTTTTTTTTTCCATTCCAAAATCCAATTCCAAGATATTTCCTTACATTTAGCTGTCATGTCTTCTCAAGGACCTCTCAGCTGTGACAATTTCTCAAATTTTCTTTGATCTTGAAATTCTTGTCAGCTTTGAGGAGTTCTGGTGAGGTATTTGTAGAATGTTGTTCAAATGGGATTTCTCTGATGCTTTCTCAAGGTTACACTGGAGGAAAGGAGGAAAACCAAAGAAGTGAAGACCATTTTCTTCATGGCATTTCAAGGATACATACCATCCATGTGACCCATCACCACTGACTGACCCTATTCTTGAGCACCTGAGGAAGGGTCTGTTGGCTTTCCCCAATATAAACTTACTTATTCTCATTTTTCCATACTGTACTCTTTGGAATGAAGTCTACTTAGAATTATGCTCTATTGAGGCAGAATAGCTACAAAAGTCATTTAGAATTCTCTAGGAAGAGATTCACCTATTCTTCCCTCATTTATTTATGCAAGTATTTATATTAGTACTATTCATGAATATTTATTTTCTCCTAAAGGCTATAATCCAATATTGTTTTATTTTTTCTCAATTTGTTCTAGCTCTGACCACTGGAAATGCAGTTTGCTCCTGTGTCCCTTTGATCTACCCCCATAATTATATTTTTATTGGGCACTTCTGTAACTTCCGGTACTATAAAATGATCCAGGCTCATTTTATGTATTTCTTTCGCTTATCCTAGAATCAGCATTTCTCCAGGAAGTGCCTATTCCCTTTCCCTTTCTTCTTCTCCTTTTTTTTTTTTTTTTTAACGGAATTAGAAGCCAAGATCTGGCTAGGTATGTTGTCACTGCTTCACAACCCTCTCCCAAAAGCCCAGGCAACAGCAACCCCAATATTTCCTGACTTAAGATTCCAAACTTTCTAATTTTTCCAAAGATATCTGAAAAATAAACTACCATCAATATCACTATCATCCTATGCACAGAGGAAAGCACAAAGATATAAACTCAGACTAAAAAGATCATAAAAATAAGCTTATTTTTATGAAAACCTCAATATATAAACCTTACTTTTCTCATCTTATTATTTATTGAGGGATGACTTACCCACTGATAACAAAGGATTGGTCTTGACCATGCCACTAAAGGAAATAATTTTCTGAGCTATAATTCCACACCTTTTACAATAGTGTGGAAATGCTGAGAGCAAGTAAACTATTAGTATGAGTGGGATATAACTCCTTCTAGCCTCCCAACTTTCTCCCTTTCACATCCCTCCCTCTACTCCAGCCTTGCCTACCACATATACACCATCACCATTAAGCAGAGAACAAAATGAGTATCTAGAAAGAGATACAATTTACAATACAATTTACAACAACACTTTGAACATAACATTACTAATACCCTTTAGACATTGACTATGATAACTCAAAGGAGAAACTACTTTTGACTTTGTTTGGAAAGGTTTCATGAAGTTCTTGGGATTTGAGCGAGGACTTTAATGATACGTAAGATTTTTGGTATGATATGAAAAAGAACAACAATCTGAGGTTTTGTTTGTTTGGTCTTGTAAAGACAATTATGAAAGCGGGAGCAATGTTCCCTAAAGCCAGTTGCATACTGTGGTTGCAGCTTAAGGTATCATGGTGAAGGGGAAATACAGAGGAAAAATGGGCTGGGAAGGCCTGCATGTAAGAATATGTAGCTCACCTCTAGGTCAAATTTTTTTTTAGCACATAAAAAGTATCACCACATTATGATCATCACAGGGACCTAATCCCCTAAATTTTGGGGATTTTTAAAGATGAATCTACTGGTGGTGGTAGTCTTATAAAATATGGACTAAATAAAGTGTTAAACTAAAACTAGTTGATCTTCTGGGCCATCTAAAAAGATTTGTAAAAGCTCAAAATCATGGGCCCACAGTTCAGTCCAAAAGAAGGCAAATTTTTGGTCATGTTTAGGACCTAGGGATCTGTGCTGAATAGATCCACACAGATTATGACTGCATGCCAGTTTATTACAATTGAATATGATAAAAGATGAACATCCAGCTAGAAAAGATGTGTAGGGCAAGGTATGTGGGAAAGGGATAGGAACTTCCATACTTTCCTAGCATCTCCAGGTGCTCACCATCCTGAAAGGTCTCTGAACCCTGTATTTTGGGGCTTTTTATGGAGACTGCATCACATAGGCATGACAAATATTAACTCCATTTTCAGCCCCTTCCCCCATTCTAGAGAATTGGGGGTAGGGGTACTGGGTACTGAAAGTTCCAAGCTTCTAATCATATTTTTGGGTTATTTTGGCAACCAGTTTTCATCTAGGGGGCTACCAAGAGTCACCTCATTAGAACAAAGACACTATCACCTAGGAAATTTAGGAACCCTGTCAGAAAGTGGATCAAAAACCAAGTATTAAAATAAAAGATGCTCATAGTACTCTTATCACACAAGAAATCAAAAAGGTTTTAGGAATTCTGTGCCAGGACAAATACAGAAACCAATATATGTACTTCTTATTATTTTACAGTTGTAGACATATTTTCCTCTCATCCTTTACACTGTGTATTACATGCAAAGTAACACACACCCAGCTCGTCTCATACATGCTTAGAATGAGTAAATGCATGTGTTCTTTGAGATGTCATGAGCTCCAAGTCATAGTTTTATCCAGCTCTCTGTATTAAGTGTTAGGATCAGCCAATACAGAATCACCTATTCCCATCTATGTAAATACTGCTTTTCCAAAGACTTTATTATTATTAAATATTTTATTTATTTATTTATGTATTTTTGCATAGAATAACTGGTGTGTAGGCCAGGGGTGGTGGTAAGAGGAGTCACCAGAGATAGAGTGGGGAGAAGAACAGGCAGATCTACTGAACTACACAGCTAGGGAGAACAGCAGGTAAAACAAGAGAGGTCTGCTGTGCCATATGGGTTAGCTCCCTGGCTGGGGATCGAGCTTAGTCTCAGGCCAATGTGGTGGGCTTTTCTGGTGTTAGCACTGAGACTTAACCCCTAGGCCAACAGGGAGGCCCCTGATGACTTCTTTAGTTTTGTGAACAAGCCAGAAGAATGCATGAGGACTAGTGTACTTGAACTTTAACCTGAGTTGGCTATTGACTCAACTCTGTAAGTTATCTCATATTAATATTTATTTTAGCAGGGAATTGTAGTGTGCTTTGGACTTCAGTCAAGTAAAGAAAGTTGAGCTCCCTCAGCAACCACAAAACTAAAAAATATCAACAAAAAGTTGGTTCCTTGGTCTCTAGATTTTTATTTTACTTTAGTCTTGGGTGCTTTATTGACAATCTAGAATTCTACATGCTAAAAACTAACATTTGTAGAAGTTAGATCCTTTTAGGAATGTTTCCAGACTTTTTCCTTACTACTCCAATTGTTACAATGTTTGGGTTTTTTTGAAACTAAGTTGAAGATAGTCTTCCATGATTAAAAAAGACAAAGACAATTAAAATATCCATAAATATCATACTTCACTAAATGTAACTTTTACTATGAGAGCTATCAATTTCACCAAAGTTAGCATCATAGATAATAATAGCAATAACAAAGATTTAGATGTTATAAAACTATATTATACAGTATCTTTGAATTATGTCATATTTTCTCCATTAGCAGATTTTTTAAATAAAATATCACACTATCAGGTGGAAGCACATAAGAAATTTCAAGGAAGTAGAAGCACAACGTGGTGTCTAAATCTTGCATGGAAAATATGTCTGGGATGTAATTCTGAAAAGCAGGGTGGAATACAGCATATGCCACTAGGAAGCAGAGAAGCAGTGTGAACTGATAATAAGCACTGACTGGTATCTGGGCAGAGGCAAGAGGCACACCTGACCCCAATGTGAACTGAAACATGGCTTTGTTTGTAGGGAGATATCCCAGTAGAGTCAATCAAAGATCAAGATGCTTAGTCAAAATGATATTTCAGTAAGTAAGCTGGATGGCCTGCATCTATGTGGAAGGAATCATCCACGTGGTGTCACCCAGAGTTGAGAAACACACCAAACTTAATGTATACAGGAGAATATTCCATCCTTCTTTCTACCTCTGTATCTCCCACTTTTACAACCTCTTCATATAAAGAGAAGCTAATCTAAGTGATAAAGGCTCCATATTTCACTGGCAGATAGTTATTCTGCTTTAACACTAAGACTCATTCAAACCACTCAACTGCCTGCTTTGTGCATGAGACAGTGCCAGAGCCTGATCCCTAGAAGTAGGGTAGCCATCCTCATCCATCACTTTCATGCCATATGTGCTTAGATAAATGGACTTGTGGCTCCTGTTGCATCCTTCTTTTCCTGGCTCTTGGCTTAAGCCTTATGCTCAAAAGAGTTTCCACAGAGTCCTGCACTGGAGGTTATTAGTTGATATCAACCAAGTGTGGGTGGGGCTGAAATAATTATCTTGTGACACTAACCTATACTACCTTGTTCTCTTTACCTGGAATGATGGCTTGGGAAGTACCAATATAATCTGTATGCTCTAGATCTGTTAAAGCAGATTCTCGCTCTTGGTGAAAAAGCAACCCTTCAAGTTTATCCAGAAGCAGGCAGCTCAAGTGTGTTCAAAAGAATTTTGAATGTGTCATGTGGTCATCTTCTACATGACATTTGAATTGTTTCACTTCTTTTTCTCCCTGTCTTGGATAAAACCTCTCCACTGAGTGCTATCATGTCTTCCACTAGGTACATTGACAGTTTCTGCTTGTTTCTTCCTTTCTCACCAAGAGCCATAACTATTTTCTCTACATGTACCAGCTATCACTGCCTCTACTAAGCACTCTCTTATAACCTGAATGCCAAACCTACAGAACACCACCACTGACTTTACTAGATTCTGCTGCTTCTAACCTGGAAATATCCTGTCTTACCTCCAAGTTATAATGCACTTCTCTAGAAGATGACTTCTCTGCTATAGACTACAGTTTTTTCCTCTACCAGCCATAACACTCTGAATGTACCTCCATCTCTGTCAGGTATGACTGCAGTGGCCTGACAACAGTACTGATACACTGGAATCCTTTAAGGAATGTGCTAGTTAGGCTTACTGGATTTAACAACAACAAACATCAGGAAACCCAGCTAAATATGAATTCCAGGACAGCAGTAAATAATATTTTAGTGTAAGTGTGTCCCATATACTTTTGAGAAGTAATACTTGAAACATACTTACACTGAAAAAA